ACCGTGGATTCAACCAGTTACTATTCCATTAGCTTTGAGTTTATCAATTAGTTCTTTAACAGCGTGTTCAATGGCTCCGTGTTTGCTTTGATAGTGTTTAGCCTTAACACTTGTTCCACTCTCTATATCCCATGCTGTTCCATCGTACACCCACTTGAGCTTGTGGATGCGACCTTCTGCCTTGTAGCTTATCACTCGTCCCTGATAATTCAGCTGCGAAAAAAAATGGGAAAAAAATTAAAGGAGAGTGATAAACAACAATGTTGAAAAAAAAGCAACGAACTGGGACCTGGGTACTAGGAGTCTGATATCCTGAGATAACTGAGATAACTCCGGAATCGAAAAAACTCATTTACACTTCTGTAAACGATATTTAGAAGTCCATAACAAGTCATCCAATGTTGCATGCAGATCTGAACTTGGCAGATTCCCTCTGATCATTGATATAAATAACAAGATACTTAATTACTTAAACTATCTCCAAGAAAAAGATGAAAATTCTATAGTTAAACAATCTTTAAAAATATCTGTTGACCTTTATCATAGTGGTCAAAATAGTTTTTACTCCAGTCTTAAGAAGATGACTGACTACTATGATTTCCCAGGCTTTAATTGTAATTTACTGAATAAATGTAAAATTAAGCAATATGTAGATCTTATGCAAAAGAAATATATCACTTACTGGAATCATACCCTTCAACATTCACAAAAACTTAACTTTTATTATAAAATCAAAACGAATTATAGCCCTTCTGTCTACCTAGATTTAACAAGAAAGAACCCTTCTAAGAAAACATTAGTGAAACTGAGAATAAGCAGTCACAAACTTAGGATTGAGACAGGTAGATACGACAATCTACCACGTGACGAAAGGTTATGCAATCTCTGCAATTGTAACAGAATTGAAGATGAAACTCACTTTTTATTAGATTGTCCAAGTTTTTCTTCGATAAGAGATATGTTCTTCTCTAAACTAGAACCTAAAATACCATTTCTACGACTACAATCACATGAGTCCTTATTATCACATCTGATGAATTCTACTGACTATTTTATTAACATCCAATTAATTTCATTTATATCAACTTGCTTTGAATTGAGAGACAAACTTATCTCCGGAATAATTAATCCTACTGATGGTTAGAAATAAACAATGATTAATAAGTTTCAAATTATTTTAAATATTTAATTTACAAGGAATCAATGAGTAATTTCAAGTAGCTTTTGCAATACTGTAATACTTTGTTATGGTCATGCAAATAAAGCTTATTGTTGTTGTTGTTGTTTTTGTTGAGAGCAAAGGGTTCATCTTTGAGCCGAGTGTGAACTGCAAGCGTGCGAAAAGCCAGCTCACACTAAGAAAGTTTCGCCTCTGCACGCAACAGAAAATGACTTTGAATGTCGGCAATTCTGTGTTGATCTGTCTAGCCTGCGTGGCAGGCGCAAAAAGGGGAGCGGGTACCCTCTCTCCCCAATCCCCCTCCTTTTTCCTCCCTATCCCCTACCCCTTTCGACGCCTGCTTCTCAGGCTATGATCCGTCAGTCAGTGGTCAGTTACGGCAGTGTGCATGCAAAGTTAAGATTTGTCGACCAAGTTGTTAAAATATGAATCTGCTACCTATAAATGGCTCACAACCTGCGCTTTTCAGCACTGGCCTTTTGTCAGAGTGAATTAAAGAATTCCAGTGGGGTATTGTAGTTCAAGTAGCCTGCAAGCAAACTCTCTAAGGACTCTGGGGCTCTCTCAGCTCCCGTCACTCGATCCCAGAATACCCCAGGGAGACTCTTGTGAAGGCAAAACCACAGGGACAAACCAGTGAGGATCCTCTGGATCTTTAGTAGACCTGGATCAGTAAAATCTTTTGTGTTGGAAACCGAAATATCTGGCAAATATAATTCACCACTTTATTTTTGTTTTCTTTATTCATTTTCTCTATCACTCTCCCTGCCGTAGGGATCAGTTTACTGTTTTAAATTTACTATAAAATTCGGTCCCCCAGAGAGATTTCTCGCAGGCAGGATAGTTTTATAGGTAGTGCTTTATTGGATGATGGAGTAAACATGCTAACATGAAAACACAACAACAACAACAACAACAACAATAACAAAAGATTATATACATAGAAAGAGATCGTATTAAAAAGCAAAAGTCGTAGTAACAACCGGTTTCCTGCAAAAGCCGGATCAAGAATCATGATCCTTGATCCTTGATTCGGCTTTTCCAGGAAACCCTGAGTCACGTAGGGGTAATTTATTTGATATATTTTCAACTGATCTCTGATCCTTGATCCTGCTTTTCCAGGAAACCAGTAAAAACTCCCTAGTTTAAATGTTTTTAAAACTTCAATTCATGGGAAAGATTATTCTAATACACCATGACCCATTGTAACTCTTATTATTAATAAAGTAAGTTTTTGTATTTTTACATTATAGTCAATAGTTCCTTAGAGTATTTTAGTCCACTTTTAAACACGATTCCTAGGAAGACCATGTAAAATGATACGATTTCGTGTATAAATAAAGATTGATGATGATGATGAAACCTGATCAACCGCTTGAAGATAACCTGCTTGATAGGCGTTTAAAAGGGCGCGTGAGGAAGGGAGCAAGTTCTTTCTCCTCCCCACTGCCCCTTACTCGCATTAACCCGTTCGCCTTCCTCGCATTGTAGGCTAAGAAAACGTCACGCATCGTAGCTATCGTGTGTTGCGTTACGCGATTGCCGTGGTCTTGAGAGCCTGTATCTGAGAATGTTTGTAGACTTATGTCATTTGGAAACTGAAAACTAACTTCTCCCTCATCAGGAAGCGAAAACAAACATGAAAACCAGCTTAGCTGTGGCGCGTGAATGTAGAGGCCGGAAGAGAACTTTTAAGTTATTATTTCAACACAGTCAATACTAGGATTAAAAAGATAAAGCAAGTGCAAATAGATAGTAAGTGAGACAACAAAAACTGAAATATGAATTATAACAGCTATGATAACGAACCTGTCCTGATTCACCGGTTATCAGCAAAAGAGCAGAGTATAATGTTGCTATATCCTGGATAATATTCATGTCGCCTGGAGAAATAACAGCAGTTATGTTTGAGACGGCAAGGTTCGACGTTGAATCGGCTTTAACTTGTAAAATTAACCTGTTTTTAGGTTTTTCCCCAGCTCAAAATGAACGAATGACGTTATTCCCGACTTCCGGGTTGTGTGACGTCGAGCCCAGACTACTTTCGATAAAGAGTGTTTTCACTCACGTGGCCAGCATCTATGCAAATTTATTGAAACAAAAGAAAGCGTTTGCATAAGTTAAGAGTTCAACTCCCACAGGATTGGTTTGGAACACCAACATGGCCGCCGTTTCATTGTTTTAGGACACCATTATGGCCACCGTGACGTCATGTGAAAAAACTCTTGCCTAATTTCAAACCGAGTAGGCTGGGTACTGGTCAACTTCTTACGGCATAAACAACACGAGGCCCACAAAGTCAGAAAGAGGGAACAGAGATTTACAGAATCCTCAAGTTTGGTCTTTATCGGGCGAGCCTATATTGAAAAACGAGACAGAAAGTGGTGGAGTGGGCACCGTGGGGGGGGGGGGGGGGGTGGGGGGGAAAAAGGGGGCCTTTGGGGGGGGGGGGAACCCCCCCAACAACGAGCCCGACATTTTTACAAAACAAAAACCCCCCTCATCACCCACTTAAGATTGTGGGGAACAAGCCATTCATCTCGGTTTCAACCCCGTGCTCCAGAAACACTTACTTTTCCACCAATCCTTCTCTTTTTTCGTCATCAAATTTGTTAGCGTAACCATCCTTGACACAACAGAGACGGAGGGGGTTGTGGGTTGTAGTCTAGTAAAGAAAAAACAAAAAACTGACACAGAAAAGGAAAAAGAGAGAACAAATTATAAGACAGATTAGGTGTTGTGTGTTGGGGGGGGGGTTCTAAAAAAAAAAAAGAGAAGGGGGGGGGGGGGGGGGGGGGGGGGGGGGGGGGGGGGGGGTGGGGGGGCAAATAAGGTGCATTATGGGAGATGTGCAAGCCCCCCATAACGAGCCGCACGATCTTAGCAACCAAAAAAGCCCCTCAGTATCCAGCTGAGATAGTTGGGTACAAGTCAGTTATCTCAGCTGGATACCCAGTAGCCTGCAACATTTCCTGTTCCACTAAACTCTGATCGTATTTCGCATCTAATATGATAGAGGCGTCAGTTTCCACGCAATCATGTCATCATCTTGGGGCGAGAAATAAAACTAATTTAAAGCGCGGTATCTAACAAAATGTACGAAAATAATAATTCATTGCCTTCTAAAAAGAACATTTTAAAGTCTGCGGTCGATCTCATTGCCAACACAGGCAAGAGCGATTAAATATCTATAGTTTAATATTACCCAATTTCGTTAGTGCTCCCCTTATTGTAGTTCGGTGCTATGTAGTACATTTACATTGATTTAGTACGACGAAATGATAGGATATCTTTCTTTCTACGGGTGGAAATACTAAAGGTGTTCTATATTCCACAAGCGCTTACTCTAATAGGCATATTAGCATAATGTCAGGACTTTTATTTTTTCGGCTACCAGTCGAAATGCTAAACGTGTTATATATCCTAGAAGCGCTCAGGCGCTCAATTTATTCTTGACCACAATAGTTTTTCAGGGTCTTCACTATTCCAATTCCACAGCAACTTTACCACAGCTGTGTGAAAAGTTAACAAACCAATTGAGGGTGTAACATCTTTTTCGAGGCGCTGTAACATTTGAAGAACAAAGTGACTTGTAGTTTGTTTGGTTTTAGTGTCAGTGAAAAACTTTGTAGCTTCACTTAAGAGACAGACAAATTGGAATTCGAAAGGTTGATCCAGCAAAATGTTTGAGTCCTTTTCAACCTGCATTTCATTAGTAGTTTTTTGTGCTTTGCTTTTCATCGGCGGAATAATAAGCAGCTTGCAATCTCCTACTGCAGAGGACAGAGGTTGTGATTTGTCATAGTAGTAACTTGCATTGTAGAAGTCATTTAGGGACTGATAATAACAAACGAGGATCTGAAGAATAAGAAACTTTAGAAATAACGAATCTGGGTCGTGGCAAATCTCCAGTGACAAAAGCGCCTGCTGTAGGCAGTGGACTCCACTCTTCGTTTCTTCAGCAGTAAGGTAACAGATTCCTAAATAGCAGAAGCGTTTGCCTTTTTCCTGATAAGAAACAAGGGACGATGCTGCTTGCAGAACTTTCACTTCAGAGAGAAGATGATTCGTCTGTCCTTTTCTTCCCCAGGTTGCTTCACCGAAAGCTTTGGAAGTAAGTAGCTGCCTGTGGTATTTTTCATTTCCATGCAGATTGGCTGCTTTTATGGCGGCATCGTATATGTCATCAAAGTTTTTTCCTTCATTCGTGGTCCAAAACTGAGCGAGTCAAAAAAACAACTCCCCCTTGACCAATATGTCAAAGACAGTGTCAGCTGTTTTGGAGTCAAAACATCCCTGTACTAAGCTTTGAATAATGCTCTCCTTATCCTCATAAAATGCAATATATGCATCCATGGAATGCCCGGTGAGAAATTGTTTATTTAGTTTATCAAAGTACGAGACATAGAATGCATTCAAACGACCGTTTGCATTGAGAATCGTCTTGTTCATCTCACTGCCTCCTTTATCTTTCGAAAATGATTGCAACAGTTTGTGCATCGTGAAAGTCCCGGGTTTAGAACCTGAATCAATCAGTGACTTCCTCCGAAGGTTTTGTAACATCCTTTTGGCTTGAAAATCACTTTTGGTGCCTAAAACGGCCGCAGCGACCTCAGTAGTGAAGTTATCACGGAGAATGCTGAAGAAATTAGTGTTACTTGTTCTTGTGTACTTAGTCTCTGGAAAGAGGAGTAAAAAATGTCCAACATGCTCACGATACTTTCTGTAGAGGAGGCCTTGAAATCATCTAGAAAATGGCTTGGTAAAGAATTATCCTCAGAAATCAAAGAACACATTAATTTTAAGGCCAAAGGAACTTGTCCGCAGATATGCGCGACTTCTATGCAATCTGCAGCGCTCGCATTTGGCAGTAACTCATGAATTAAGGATTTTGTAAAGGCTTTATCCAATGTTCTTACTCTCAAGCCTTGATGGCCTTGAAAATGAATGTCGATAAACTCAAGAGACTCTCTCGTGGTTACAATGCATGTCACCCTTGGGTTTTGCCTGAGTATTTGCATGACCTCTTCCTTCACTTTTGGCCAACCACTTTCTAACAAATCATCGGCATTATCAAGAATAAATACAGACTGCTTTGATATTTTGTTGAATAGTTGGCAAATCTCATCATCATGGGACAGACGCTCATAGGACAGTTGATTATTAATGGTTGGTTGCCTCAGAAGGCCAAGAATCTTTGAAGTCAGACCCGCCTTTGACTGAAGTCCCCGCAATGAAACCCAGTAAACAGGCAGCCCTTGAGTCTGAAGAGCGTGTCCCACTGCAATTGCAACCGATGTTTTTCCGAATCCAGGTGAACCCCAGATCGACACAAGTCGGGTGGATTCGGAAGTGACATGTCCGATGATCTTCTCAACTTCGCTCTGTCGCCCAATGGAATTGGGAACCACTGAAGGAAGGTAGGCTCTTGAGAGCGGTGGTCTCATACCTTTTATGATGAGAAAAGACCATAAATCAGTGAATTTAAATCCGCAAATTTATTTATACGAAACCTGATGATTTAGGAAGAGAGTTTGGTTATAAAGTCGACCCTAGGCTATTCCTTCATCTCCTTATATGAAGAAAGCTTATAGTAATCTTTTCCACACACCAAAACCTTGACAAACTGTTCTCTAGAAAGTGACACAGACGACTCGAAAGAAAAAATCAGAGAACTCGCCAACAGGAGTCAACAGATGCTCTACCAATGAGCTACAGGAGACTTGTGGGTGCAAACAAAACCTACCTGGAAAAAGGTTAACTCTCCGCGACTTAGACTGCTACCTTTTTTAATTACTTTATAATCTGAAGGCACGGATCAAAGAGATTTCCGATTCAAATGAAAGACGGAGGATTCTCTTTTAAAAGCTTTGAATCACCTAAATTTATAGTCATAGACATTTCGGGAAGGGCAAGTGAACGCTATCATAAACATTCTAGAAGATCAGAAATGACCTAAAATCTAGGACTTAAAATCTTAGTCCGTCAAACAAAAACAAGTCTATAATCTTTAGTGTCTTGTATAGACAACACAACTCCCCGGAGAGTTTCCAAAAGTACTTTGATGATAGCCTGAATTTCAGACGATTACTACTTCTAGTCCAGCCTAGTCCCGAGGCGTTCTCGGCGCGGTCAATCATGGACTCTACCGTGAGCTGTGACGTCACCGAGAGATACTCGCCCGCTCTTTCCCAGACTTCGCGCGGACAACGGGTCAAGAGAGAACGCCTAGGCACTAGGCTGCTTCTAGTCGTTTTCTCCTCCCAGGGAGTAGAAACGACACGACTCGAAGTAATCGTCTGCTACTCAGGCTATTTTGATGACTGCTGCGAAAAACTTGCAACTAAAGATAAAACCGTTTACATAATGGACGATTTCAATACTGATCTTCTAAAACGGAAAAGTCTCCCTACAGCCACAATTTCCTTTTGTCCCTGCAAAGCTACCATCTGAAACCTACTATAGACAGGGTTCGAAGTCTTTTTGAACAAAAAATTCAAGGATTGTTCAAGGACTTTCAAGGACACATTTCTCATTTTTCAAAGACTCATTCACTGCAAAAAAGAGCCTTGAGTCGATGTCTTTTTTACTTCTTCCGCAACATGAGTAATTTTATCCCGAAGGTCGTCTTTCTGTAGTTGCTCCTTTTTCTTTGGAGTTCTACTTAACCTATAAATTTAGCATTTAAATGCAAGGACATTCCAGCATCGACTGCAATTTTCAAGGACATTCATGGCCTTGAATTTTTTATTTTAAAATTCAAGGACTTTCAAGGTGCGTGCGAACCCTGTATAGACAAACCAACCAGAGTAATCGATTGTGCTCTATTGTCTTACCCCATTAATCTTCCTATTTCTTATATCACTTTTTTTTACATTTTATTTTTACTAATCTAGCTAATTATTTTTATTTATTTATTATTTTTTTTATACAACCCGCCTCGAATAACATATAGTTGTTGTTAATGATGGGTGCTTATTGCAAATTACAGCTAAAAGGAGGGGCGCTTATTGGAAGGAGGGCACTTATTCAAGGGGGTGGGAGGCAATTCTAAAAGTTTTCCTTTTAACGTATAATCTTTCGTTTGTTCAAACAGCAGTTGCAATCAAGCTCGTATCGTAGTCCTATTATACACTTAGCACTAGTGTGACGGGATGCACGTGTATGAAGTATCGATTATCTCATCGTACATCCTCGTCAATTATATCGTGTGAGCAACGACCGAAGAATCATTCAAACTGTTAGGGTGGGTGGATCTGGAAACAGAAAGGTAAGCCGACAAATGTATTTTAATTTTTACACGTCTAAATGAATTAGTTCTTCCATATCATGTTATCGCATTATTTTATTAGAAATCGCACTATTTACACTTACAAGACAAGACAAAGGAACGACATTCATCTACCGAACCCTAAGTTAAAGCTAGGAAGAAACACAGTTTAGATTTTTAGGTGCAGTTCTTTTTAATTATTTGCCCACATCAATAAAAGAAGCCACGTTGCTTTCCATTTTTAAGAACTTTCTTAGACTGCATTTTAGCCATTAGTTTTGCTAACAGATTAATATAACACTTAGGTATAAACTTCGACAGCTCACTTATTTTGTCTTAATCTAAAAAAAATAGTGATTTTTATGAAGATATGTAACTTCCCTTTTATTCACTTTTTAAAACAGCTAAAATCCACCCAGAATTAAAATTCATCTGATGAATTTAGCAGCCCATAACCCGGGGTGAGCAACTTTCATGTGCACATGTAACGGCGTTTTCACTGACCAGTTTATTTTTAGAACAACTGTGAGGCGAATTTAGTAAATCTATTGAGTCACTCCAGGAAAATTAACCTACATTTGGCAAATTGAGCGAAGCTAAAGAAACGCCATTAAGTTTGAAAAAACGCAAATCCACGTTTTCAGTGACGATTTTAGTGCCGCCGTCGCGCCGTCGTTGTAGTCTAAGAACAAAGGCGTAGTCAGCATTTATCAAAGGGGGGGTCACAGAGGGGGGCTCAGTCGTATTATCGCGGCATGAAGGCCCATATTAACTAAAGACAATAGCTGACGAAAATAGTTTACGAAAATACTTTACAAAAAAACAAATTTTAAAAAAGTAGGCTTTTCAACAATGGCTTTTACGGCCAAGATATTGTCATGGCGTTTTCGCCACATGAATATCGTAGGTTGTTTGCTCAAAAGAAGGCCTACTAAGGGGGGGTCACGGGCACCCCAAGACCCCCCTAGCCACGCCCCTGAAGAACCAGCCGTTCAATCCTTCAGAATCCACGGCTTTCAATGGAACGTCAGGTCCAGGCCTCAGATAATCCCTTTTTCTTGTAGTTTGCCTTTCAGCTTTTCTACAGCATGACCAATGGCCTTTTGATCGTTATCATGATGTTTTGCTTCAACAGTGATTCCACTTTCTTGATCCGAAGCACCGGCATCAAACACCAATGGCTCCCTCAAGGAGTGAAACCTGCCATAAGCTTTGTAGCAGAAAATTCGTCCCTCGTAGTTCATCTAAATATCATAAGTATTGGTCCGACAACCAAACTCTATGATACACCCCAAACCAAAAAACTACCACCTTCCAAGCTTTTTTTTTCTCCCGCCCCTCAATTCCCTATTTTCACATAGACCATAATTTACCTAATGTCTACCCCCCCCCCCCACCCCCACCCCAAATCTTTCTTAACCACTGTCTTTGATTTCTCTTGGGACAACTTTAATACCCAGGAATACCCAGGAGAAACAATGGTTCAAAATTTGGGGGGTAAACAGGGTGCAGCATGGTCCATGCAAAAATGGAGAATCACCAGATTTATTGCTTGTTAACTATAGGCTTTTAAATAAAAGTATTGCTGCAGAATTATCAATAGAAGTTGAACCAAGATACTTTAAGCAAGTACACTAGCCATCATAATGTCATGTACAAGAATTAATGGTATAGAAACACTGATTTTACCATCTTTGGAGACAAGGGGTAGTCAGTCAGGTTGAGAGAAATGGCACAAACAATATTTTTCGAGCATTATGTAGAAACCTTTGTGGAGCAATTTATCCTGACCCAACTGACTGTCTCTGAGTCTCCAAGGTTGTGATTTTCCTAATCTTTTGACAAATTTTCTTTGCAGCCATACCAATGAAATGAATAAACTCTAGATGTGACAGATTTTATTCTTTTGTCTTTAAAAACAAACAAAAACTAGCATGTCATTTTCTTAGCAAGGGGATTCTTCAAGGAAACTTTTTTTTGCCTGTACTAGCAAAAAATAAACTGTTAACAAAGAAATTTTTTCAAAACACAAAATATAAATACAACAAAAAACAAACAGATTTTGAAGGCCATAATTGTACATACCTGACCAGAGTTACAGCTTCCAACATATGTCTGAAGCAGGCTTCCGAGTAAATTACCTGTGTTACCAAGATTTCCTCCATTGAAAGGGCCTAAAAGTTATTTAAAGAATAATAAAATCTATCAAACTCAAATGTTAACATTATATTAAGATATAAAAATATTAATATAAAGATAATCAGGCTACTGACAGGAAATAAATTCAATAAAGAAACCTTGACTCACGCCGGGTCACCTGTCACAACCTTTAGGTCACTTAATTGAAGCCAAGAAACTACTTAAAAATTACAGTTTTTATCCATTTGAGTGCAAAGTTTCCAGGATGGTAGAACTTTGTACTCCATACAATAATTTGTATGTTTTTTGTTTTTAGATTTTAATGGTTTTTGGCAGAAAATTACATCACATGGTTGACAGCAAAATTTAAACTTCAACAGGTGACCAGCTAACAGATGATAATTTTTAACAAGCACAATGTCATAGAAACAACAGTGAAAATTTTTTGGAGAAGTTCAATTGCTTTAGGAGATATAGCATTTTAAAATGTGCTTGTGTTTCTAAAAATAGTAACAAAATGGCCGGAAATTCAAAAATCAAAGCTTAATATATACAACTTCTTAACCAATTGAGCTCTTTAAAAAAATTTTCACAAGTGACTTTATCGCATCATGCTCTTTCTGCTCTGCTATGTTGTAAAGCATGCAGGATGCAGCTAGAGCATGGAAGAAGTGTATAGGGCTGAGGTAACAGGAGATGTAGTTGAGTGTATCAATCTGACCCTCTGACCGCAGGGTGCACCAAAAATTTTCTTATCCACTTGTCCTTCAGACAAGCACTATATTAAATTTGGTTGTCCGAAACCCAAGGGTTCTTGTCCAAAACGTTTTGCTCAAAACTCAGAAACAATCGGACATATATTTTACTTCTTATTACCACATAATCAGCCTTTTTGCAGGTAAGTTAACAGGCCTGGTTACTAAGGCCAGGTTCCTAAGCCAAATGGAGCTCGTAAAATAACAAAATGATTGAAACGGCTGTGGAATGGCGAAGTTTTAAAGGAATATTTAACCTTATTTTGACAAGCATGAGGGTTGCTTTTATGACTATAAGATAAATTTTAATTCTTCTGTAATTTGAAGTCAACTTTCATCTGTTTCTGTATTTTTTCTAATAAAAAATGTGCTTGTCCCACGGACAAGTTGTGTCAAAGGTTTACTTGTCTGAACTGTATATCTACCTGTCCCGGACAATCGGACATAGGTTTTGGCACACCCTGCTGACCTACTTCCTGAGTGCTCTGAAGCCCCTTCCCAAATGCTTACAACACAACAAAGCACAGTCAAGGCTTCTCATTGTTCTCAATATGATAAAAAAGCTGTTAAATTCCCACATATTACTTTCTAATTTTCAAAACAAAACTATTGGCAGATGACGCATCAGCTTCAGTGCTTTCAGCACTCAATTGACAAGCTGCCTGCTCAGGCGCAGATCCACACCGGTTTCCACCGTTTTACAGAAATCGGTCACATTTTTCATAATAAATATAGTTTTGATAATAAAAACACTTCCAAGGTTGGAATCTGGCCAGTATCCTGTCTGAATGACTATGAGATCCAGGAAAGGGGACTTTAAGGAATGAAAATCCAAAAAATTTCCTGGGGGAGCCTGTCTCCGGACTCCCCTGGAAGCTTGCGCTTTCGCCGCTCGTTCAGGAAATCGGTTGGTATTTATCCTAGATCCGCGCCTGCTGCTCTCTATATCATAGCTTTAATCTACTTTAAAACCTAATGTAATGAGAACCCTGACTGATAATGTGATCAGTCCACCATGTGATCACAGACTATGCACTTGAAGTTCTTGGAAATCTTTAATAGACGTCCAATACCACATTCATGAATTAATACCTGGAAATCCCTGGCCATAGTTCTGATGTTGACCAGTCTGAGCCAAGGTAACCTGAGGTCTTTCGCTCTGTAGCTGAACTGATGCATGGCTGAAACTTTCTGTAATATATGAAATAACAATAATGTATATTTAATACCCCAGGTAAGTACAGTATTTACTCCACAGTGGCCACTTCTACTCTCCAAACATGTCCAGGTATCAATTACTGCTGTGCTTCAGATAATAATGCTCTGCACTCAAATTGTACTAGTTTAATGAAAAACCTACAGATTAATCTAGTGATACCATAAACAACCCTAGGGAAGTCTTCTCCATTCTCCACCCCCTTCCCCCCCTGAAAAATGTTCTAATTTGCTTTTGTGCTAGCCCACAAGTCCCTTAAACCTTCGATGAGCAGGATTTTTAATACTTCACTTTCGTAAAAGTCCATTTTCAACAGGGGCACCCAACAACAGTTTCCTCCCAAATACTTTAAAAACACTTTTTAGGCTATCCAGAGTATCTGTTCGGTTATCTTAGGGGAACTTAAGTCTTTTCGAAATTACAGGGCTTCAGAATTATTTTCCAGAAAATTGTTGAGGCAAATTATTACGAAAGTGAGAGTTTTTCTGATTTCTCTCTCCACCATATTTTTGAATCCAAAACATTTAGTTTTCCTTTTCTCTACGAAAAATAGCCTAACCTAGGGAGTGAAATATGAAAAATTAAACTTCAGAGAATCGTAGGGCATTTATCAGATAAGCTTTGAAAATTGTGCATGAATGGAACAGCCATCTAGAAATTTCTAGCCATCCTCAAGTAATAGAAAATTCTAGGTAATATTAGCTCTTCCAAACAGTCCCCCTGTTCCAATTTGTTATGCCACAACTTCAAAACTAGTCTTGGGTTTCAGTCACTCACTGCCAACTCCACATCGTTTTTCATGGCCTTAAAATATACCATACCTTCATTCAGTGTCCTTTGACTGGAGTTGATGGGATTCTGATAGTGAGGCCATTGCTCGAAAACAAAGGTATCACTGAGAATGTTATACATCACAGATGCCGCCATGACACTTGCAAATGACACCCACTGTTTAGTGAGTGATGCCGCGCAGTCTGCATAACCAGAGATACCTTTGATGACAACCCATTCTGTTTTAAGATCATGTGCTGCTGCAAAAATCCCTAAAGTGAAAAAATGGATTGTTCAATCAAAGGATGATCACCTACATATATAACAGATTGTACAAAAAATATGTATATTTGCCTTCATGGCTAGCTTTTGCCAATCCTGCAGAAAGATCAGTGAAAAAAGGAAGTAAGCTAAAAAAATGGAAGTTAATGTCATATCAAGAAACAATACAAGAGACTATTTCTAGACGCTTGCAATAATATTCAAAGATTTTTAAAGTAGTGATGAAAATGGCCTCAAGCAAAAGGGATAGGTATTTGCCAAAACGCCATATCTACTGCACAACTAAAACACCAAACAAAGCCTTATAACCGAAAATAGAAACCGATCCTACGTTGCAACAAAGTTATACCCAGCCACCGCACGAACTGCGGTGTACAACTTCAATCAATGTGTTCCTTATGTAACATGTCACGCGCTGTCCTGGCAAACATAAATGACGCCTTGACCTTTGAATTTGTTTTTTCAGCAAATATTTCCGATGAGTGCTGGCAATGAGAAATTTTCCTATCATTTTTATAAAGTAACACAAAGTTAATACGTTAATTTGTTATTTTACTAGTAATATAACATTTGTATTTATGTATGGAAAGCGGATGGAAAATCAACAAAGCAACATGAATCGATTTTTTCAGATTTTTTTAAAAATTTAATAATCTTTCACTCACCGTCCCCATCCAATTCAACAGCGATAGCGTTGGAGTACAATCCAACGAGTTCATCACGTCGTTGAATCGATTCCACCTGTTCTGGTCCGCTCAGGAGTTCGATATCGTGGTGAACTTTCACTTCGTATAGGACAGTTTAATAGGACAGTACGCGTCATGCCTAAGTAATTGGACAGTACGCGCCATCACGCGCGCGCTTAAATGGCTTTTTTTTTTCATAGCTAGCGAAAAAATCTTGGAATTTCTTGTGTTTTGATAAAAAAAGAGCCCTATATATCACAAACTTTGTTAAAGTTATGATTAATTGGTAACAGAACTTCGTGTCGTCCAATTCGGTCTGTAATCATACTCGTGATTAAACAAATCGGACTCCCGCTACGCGGACGTCCGATTTTGTTAATCACTCGTATGATTACAGACCGAATTGGACTCCACTCAGTCCTGTTACCATTACTAACACTAGTGTATCGGGATGCACGTCTATGAAGTATCGATTATCTCATCATACATCCTCGTCTATTATATGGTGTGGGCAACGACCGAAGAATCATTCCAACAGTTAGGGTGGGTGGATTTGGAAACACAAAGGTAAGCCCACAAATGCATTTTTAATTAGTTTGTAAATGTCTAAATGAATTAGTTCTTCCATATTTATCGGATTATTTTATGAGAAATCGCACTATTCACACTTACAAGATAAGAAAAAGGAACGACATTCGTCTACCGAACCCTAAGTTAATGCTAGGAAAAAAACACAGTTTAGATTTTTAGGTGCAGTTCTTTTTAATTATTTGCCCACATTAATAAAAGAAGCCACGTCGCTTTCCCTTTTTAAGAACTTTCTTAGATTGCATTTTAGCCATTAGTTTTGCTAACTGATTAATATAACACTTTGGTATAAGCTTCGACAACTCTCTTATTTTGTCTTAATCTTAAACAAATTGTGATTTTTATGAAGATATGTAACTTCCCTTTTATTCACTTTTTAAAACAGCTAAAATCCTTGTACATAATTTTAAAGTTATTTTTAATTTTTAAAATTTTATCGTGAAGTGCACCACTCCACCCAGAATTAAAATTCATCTGATGAATTCAGCAGCCCATAACCGGGGGTGAGCAACTTTCATGAACACATGTAACGGCGTTTTCACTGACCAGTTTATTTTTAGAACAAATGTGGGGCGAATTTAGTAAATCTCTTAAGTCACTCCAGGAAAATTAACCTACATTCGGCAAATTGAGCGAAGCTAAAAAAACGCGATTAAGTTTGAAAAAACGCAAATCCATGTTTTCAGTGACGTTTTTAGTGCCGTCGTCGCGCCATCGTTGTAGTCTAAGAACATGGGCGTAGCCAGGATATTTCAAAGAGGGGGTCACAGAGGGAGGCTCAGTCGTATTATCGCGGCATGAAGGCCCATATTAACTAAAGACAATAGCCGTTGACGAAAATACTTTACAAAAAAACAAATTTTAAAAAAGTGGGCTTTCCAACAATGGCTTTTACGGCCAAGATATTGTCATGGCGTTTTCGCCACCTGAATATTGTAGGCCTACCAAGGGGGGGTCACGGGCACCCCAGGACCCCCCCCCCCTAGCCACGCCCCTGAAGAACCAGCAGTTCAATCCTTCAGAATCCACGGCTTTCAATGGAACGTCAGGTCCAGGCCTCAGATAATCCCTTTTTCTTGTAGTTTGCCTTTCAGCTTTTCTACAGCATGACCAATGGCCTTCTGATCGTTATCATAATGTTTTGCTTCAACAGAGATTCCACTTTCTTTATCCGAAGCACTGGCATCGAACACCAATGGCTCCCTCAAGGAGTGAAACCTACCATAAGCACTGTAGCAGAAAATTCGTCCCTGGTAGTTCATCTAAATATGAAAACTTCAATTAATTTCAGTATCATACTGATCATATGGAAAGATGCAATTTATTTCAGTGTCAGTGTATTTAGCAGGAAAGTACGAAGACACCATTTTAATGTCATCTGCCCTGGGGATGGGATCGCTGTGGTCATCTGAGCCATGCAAAAGCCTGACTATTTGCAAGGCAAATGCAGTACATTCATTTCTAAGTTATTCATAAGACCCCGATCAGAAGTATTGGTCTGACAACAAAACTCTGTGATACACTCCATACTAAAAAGCTACAACACACCTCAATTCACCATTTTCACATAGACCACAATTTACCTAATGTCTACCCTCCCCCTACCCCAAATCTTTCTTAACCACTGTCTTTGATTTCTCTTGGGACAACTTTAATACCCAGGAATACCCAGGAGAAACAACGGTTCAAAATTTTGGGGGTAAACAGGGTGCAGCAGGTCTATGCAAAAATGGAGAATCACCAGATTTATTACTTGTTAACTATAGGCTTTTAAATAAAAGTATTGCTGCTTAATTATCAATAGAAGTTGAACCAAGATACTTTAAGCAAGTACACTAGCCATCATAATGTCATGTACAAGAATTAATGGTATAGAAACACTGATTTTACCATCTTTGGAGACAAGGGGTAGTTAGTCAGGTTGAGAGAAATGGCACAAACAATATTTTTCAAGCATCTGACTGTCTCTGAGTCTCCAAGGTTGTGATTTTCCTAATCTTTTGACAAATTTTCTTTGCAGCCGTACCAATGAAAAAACTCTAGATGTGACAGATTTTTTTTCTTTTGTCTTTACTGAACAATCAAAAACTAGCACGTCAGTTTCTTAGCAAGGGGATTCTTCAAGGAAACTTTTTTTCCCTATACTAGCAAAAAATAAACTGTTAACAAAGACATTTTTTCAAAACACAAAATATAAATACAACGAAAAACAAACAGATTTTGAAGGCTATAATAATTGTACATACCTGGCCAGAGTTACAGCTTCCAACATATGTCTGAAGCAGGCTTCCCAGTAAATTACCGGCATTACCAAGATTTCCTCCATTGAAAGGACCTAAAAATTATTTAAAGAATAATAAAATCTATCAAACTCAGATGTTAACATTATATTAGGATATAAAAATATCAATCTAAAGATAATCAGGCTACTGACAGGAAATAAATTAACATATAAAGAAACCTCGACTCACGCCGGGTCACCTGTCACGACCTTAAGGTCACTTAATTGAAGCCAAGGAACTACTTAAAAATTACAGTTTTTATCCATTTGAGTGCAAAGTTTCCAGGATGGTAGAACTTTGAACTCCATACATTAATTTGTATGTTTTTTGTTTTTAGATTTTAATGGTTTTTGGCAGAAAATTACATCAGATGGTTGACAGCAAAATTTAAACTTCAACAGGTGACCAGCTAACAGATAGATAATTTTTAACAAGCACAACATTATACAAACAACAGTGGAAAATTTTTTGAGAAGCTCAATTTATTACTTTAGGAGACATAGCATTGTAAAATGCGCTTGTGTTTCTAAAAATAGTATCAAAATGGCCAGAAATTCAAAAATCAAAGCTTAATATATAACTTCTTAACCAACTGAGCTTTTCAAAAAATTTTTACAAGTGATATTATCGCATTGTGCTCTTTCTGCTCTGTTAATGTAAACTTCCAAAAATAATCCCCTCCATGTATAAGCCCCTCCAAATATAAGCCCCCCAAACTCGTAACACAAAAAACCCTCCGTTTAATCACCCCTCCAAATATAAGCCCCCCGGGGACTTGTACTTGGAAATTGCCCTCAAATACAAAGTCAAACAAAGCAAAAATGGTAAATATCCTATACCATAAGGCTAGCCCAATAGATTTTGAGACGCAAATTTCCCTCCATAGATAAGCCCCTCTGAATATAAGCCCCTCCAAAAATAAGCCCCTCAAAAAGGGGCCTTTGAAAAATATAAGCCCCGGGGCTTATTTTCAGAATTTTACGGTATGTTGTAAAGCATACAGGAAGCAGCTAGAGCATGAAAAACGTGTATAGGGCTGAGGCAACAAGAGATGTAGTTGAGTGTGTCAATCTGACCTACTTCCTGAGTGCTCTTAAGCCCCTTCCCAAATGCTTACAACAGAACAAAGCACAGTCAAGGCTTCTCATTGTTTTCAACATGATAAAAAAAGCTGTTAAATTCCCACGTATTACTTTGTAATTTTCAAAACAAAACTATTGGCAGATGACGCATCAGCTTCAGTGCCTTCAGCACTTAATTGACAAGCTGCCTGCTTTCTATATCATAGCTTTAATTGACTTTAAAACTTAATGTAATGAGAACCCTGACTGATAATGTGATCAGTCCACCATGTGATCACAGACTATGCACTTGAAGTTCTTGGAAATCTTTAATAGACATCCAATACCACATTCATGAATTAATACCTGGAAATCCCTGGCCATAGTTCTGATGTTGACCAGTCTGAGTCGAGGTAACCTGAGGTCTTTGACTTTGTAGCTGAACTGATGCATGGCTGAAGCTTTCTGTAATATATGAAATAACAATAATCTATATTTAATACCTAAGGTAAGTACAGTATTTACTCCACAGTGGCCACTTCTACTCTCCAAACATGTCCAGGTATTAATTACTGCTGTGCTTCAGATAATAATGCCCTGCACTCAAATTGTACTAGTTTAATGAAAAATCTACAGATTAATCTAGTGATACCATAAACAACCCTAGGGACGTGTTCTCCAATCTCCACCCCCTTCCCCCCTCTGAAAAATGTTCTAATTTGCTTTTGTGCTAGCCCACAAGTCCCTTAAACCTGCGATGAGCAGGATTTTTAATACTTCACTTTCGTAAAAGTCCATTTTCAACAGGGGTACCCAACAACAGTTTCCTCCCAAATACTTTTAAAACACTTTTTAGGCTATCCAGAGTTCTTTTAGATTTCTAGAAATGCATTCTAAGCGGCGCTATAAAATTTCTATCTGTTTGGTCATCTTAGGGGAACTTGAGTCTTTTCGAAATTACAGGGCTTCACTATTATTTTTCAGAAAATTGTTGAGGCAAATTAATGTATTACGAAAGTGAGAATTTTTCTGATTTCTCACTCCACCATCTTTTTGAATCCGAAAAATTTAGTTTTCCTTTTCTCTACGAAAAATAGCCTAACCTAGAGAGCGAAATGTGAAAATTTAAACTTCAGAGAATCATAGGGAATTTATTAGATAAGCTTTGGAAATTTTGCATGAATGGAACAGCCATCTAGAAATTTCTAGCCATCCTCAGTAATAGAAAATTCTAAACAATTATTGGATGAGGTTTTTGTGATATCCGGAATAATCAAGGTCGAGGTAAGTGTCGGCTTCGGCTGATAACACTAACCGAGACCTTGATTATTCCGGATATCACAAAAACAGAATCTAATAATTGTTTTATTATACTTTATCTTCAAGTAATTTCTCAATTTCTTGCTGGGTCGATGAAGCAAGTCGAGAAGCAATTCTTACTTCGCTGTCCGCGAACTTGACATTGCTGTCCGTGCACTTGACATTGCGCTGTTTCCCAGAATTAACTGTAGGCATTTAGCCAATGAGAAGACAGATGGTGACTACAATGTATAATAATAGGTAATATCTGCTCTTCCGAACAGATATTTTACAGAAAACTGTCGTTGGGTGCCCCTGTTCCAATTTGTTAAGTCACCACTTCAAAACTAGTCTCGGGTTTCAGTCACTCACTGCCAACTCCACATCGTGATTTCACGGCCTTAAAATATACCGTACCTTCATTCCGTGTCCTTTGACTGGAGTTGATGGGATTCTGATAGTGAGGCCATTGCTCGAAAACAAAGGTATCACTGAGAATGTTATACATCACAGATGCTGCCATGACACTTGCAAATGACACCCACTGTTTAGTGAGTGATGCCGCGCAGTCTGCATAACCAGAGATACCTTTGATGACAACCCATTCTGTTTTCAGATCATGTGCTGCTGCAAAAATCCCTAAAGTGAAAAAATGGATTGGTCAATCAAGGATGATCACCTACATATATAACAGATTGTACAAAAAATATATATATTTGCCTTCCTGGCTAGCTTTTGCCAATCCTGCAGAAAGATCAGTGAAAAAAGGAAGTAAGCTAAAAAAATGGAAGTTAATGTCATGTCAAGAGACACATCAAGAGACTATTTCTAGAAGCTTGCAATAATATTCAAAGATTTTTAAAGTAGTGATGAAAATGGCCTCAAGCAAAAGGGGTAGGTATTTGCCAAAACGCCATATCTACTGCACAACTAAAATACCAAACAAAGCCTTATAACCGAAAATAGAAACCGGTCCTACGTTGCAACAAAGTTATACCCAGCCACCGCACGGACTGCGGTGTACAACTTCAATCAATGTGTTCATTATGTAACATGTCACGCGCTGTCCTGGCAAACATAAATGACGCCTTCACCTTTGAATTTGTTTTTTCAGCAAATATTTCCGATGAGTGCTGGCAATAAGAAATTTTCCTATCATTTTTATAAAGTAACACAAAGTTAACACGTTAATTTGTTATTTTACTAGTAATATAACATTTGTAAATGTATGGAAAGCGGATGGAAAATCAACAAAGCAACATGAATCGATTTTTTCAGATTTTTTTAAAAATTTAATAATCTTTTTGAGTGGCAGGGGTAGGTTAAGTTGTCGCTATCGCAACCTCATGTTAGGTTGCTCAAGTAGTGCAGCAACTTAGCTAAGGTGGACAAGACCAGGCGAGTCCTCAAGCTATAGCACCACTTGAAAGTGAAGCCCAACTTCCGGGTTCTGCAATGGCGGCTTCCAACCAAACCCAGCCTGTCTGATCAGGCGGGACATTATTGAGCTTAAAGGCGTTGTAAAGCCGCACGGCACGACTCCAGTGCTTGTCACTCTTCGTGATGCGTACGTGGTCAGCTTGGATGGAACCACTACGTCTCCTAGCTTGGTTTTATCGCGATACAAGCCCCTACAAGAGCCAATGCAAAGTACCGCTTTTGGCTGTAAAACTTCAACGGCTTTTTTCACTACCATCGCTGACCCTCCGGGTTCCCCACCACCTTCTGAGCACGTAATCAAGGCGACTTTCAGTTTCACCTCTCCATCGTTGCCGATTTTCCCGAAATATACGTATCCAAGAGTTATCGTGAAGCTTCGAAAGGCATCGCTCAGAAAATAGTAACAGCTTAAGAAGTCGTCGTCCTTTACTGCCAAAAGCAAAATATCTATCGGCAGCTGGACTTCCGCCCAACGCTTTGAAATTACAACCAGATCGCTTGTCTTTGGAATAGTAATACTGAGTGATGGTGGGCTGTTGTTGTCATTCGATAAATCATACATCATGTAATCAACGTTTTCACTTTCACATCCCGCCATTTCTTTATCAGATCACAAACGAGGGAGTACCGTAAAAGGCGGGAACCCCCCGTAAGGACCGGAAACTCCTTTCTGACGACTCCGGCAAATTCTGTGGCACAGAATCCAAAATTCACTTCAAATACTATCTTTGAATTCTTCATTTTGGAGACAATCAACTTTGGATTTATAAAATTTATGTTATTCCAAAGGTCTCAAATTTTTATTCCAATCGTGAATGACGCACTCACCCCAAACCCCACCCCCTCGCTGTATTTTCTGCTCACATTTTGCGTACGCGCGAGTGAACGCCTGAAGCTATCCAAATAGACCAATTTCAATGGTGAAATTTACACTTCACTACACTTCGTTACACAGGAAATAAATTATTCACCCCGGCTGAGTCTTTATGCACCCTCAGTTTCGGAGCCAAGTATGAATAGCTGGCCTATCTCGATTTCTGTCATTAATAAGCGAATTTTAGGGATGGTAAAATTTGCGTCAAATTTTCTGTGAAAAACGTGATTTCCCTCGACACGGAGGGAAAAAAAAGTGAAGATTAGAATATTCATTCTTTTCCCGTCCACGACCTTCGTGACAGCGAGGGAGACCTGGGAAAGGATCTCCACCGTAGACTACAAAGCCTGCGTTGCAAGCCGCACTTGTCACTCAACACCTAGATATTTTTTGAAGAGGGTTGGGGGAGGTGGCTGATTTGACAGTTAAGGAACTTGACATAATTGCCAAAACATTGAAAGGAAATTTCTTCCTTAGTCTTACAAATGACTTAAGGCAAGACCACATTGCCTTTGCCTTTCGAAATGCCGGTCAATATATCAAGTTCCTTTACTATTTCAAAATTCTAGTAACACTCAATACCTTCACACAGAGCTTCCGAAAAAAACAACAGAAGACCACAACAATATTACACAAGTGTTTATTGCTTTCAGGTGAGACAGCAAAAGTTAACACTACTCACAAAAGTTGTTAACCGTAAAATGAGATTGAACTTGCAAATACTGTTTCCTACCAGGATACCACGAAGTCCCAAGAACAAATTCTTCAATAACCCAGAGGAGAGCATGAGAAAACAGCCGACATTCCGCGACGCCGCCGCTGGGTTTCCCCGCGAAATGACGTCTGAAAAACGAGCACAGCAATTCGATACTGATAGATGACGTGTCACTGCCCAGATGTGGGGAGTGCTTCTCATTGGTTAAGGTAAATGTTTACCCAATCAGAAGCACGACCCAGATCTGGGTAGTGACACGTCATCAGTATGGAATTTCTGCACTCGTTCCCCAGACGTCATTTCGCGGGCAAATCAATGGCGGGGTGGCGAAATGTCGGCTGTTTTCTCAGGCTAGTTGTTTAATTAGCTGAGGAAACTAAAGATGAATGACTTCAACAGTATCCCTAGCCCTAAACGCAATAGCAGGTGTGTTTTCAACGGCCAATGAAAAGAAGTTCCTAAGAGCTCCGTGGTCCCTTACTATGTAAAGGAGCTGTGTCACGAAAGTTATCAAAATTCCAAAAGTGGGTACTGCCACCAAATCAAGTGAAACGTAAAAATAACCGCTCAAAACGTTAAAAGAAGGTATAAATGATGCAACAAAGACAAAAGGAAGCACGGATGGACGAAACTGAAGAGGATACAAACGGATTACAGTTAATGTTGTTGAAAACTTGTCAGTCTAACAGTGTTTCAGAGTTCATTCTTGTTGTTTGGAACGTTTGATTTAACGCTTGGGAGTTTGACACAAAGCTGTGATTTTATCATTCTCAAGAAATTTCTCAATTTCCCTTATTTCATAGCGAATAAGGACGCGAAACTGGAATTGGAAACAAAATGAACAAGAGAAATACTGTGGAGATGCCAGCCGTGTCACAGCCCCTTTAATTTACTTCCGTAACTTTTTCTACTTCCTTAACTTCTGCTACTTTCTGTCACACCTTACAAATAATCAACGACCCCCTGACATAACAGTGTAAAACCCACGAAGTTTATAAACTCCCTGCCATTCTAAGAAGCTCCTTGTACATAGGAAAAGTTCTCACAGGCGTCAATGAACAAAACAAGTAAACATTGTAGCAAGTGATAAACAAAGCTTACACTAACACCAACACAAAGGTCAAAATATACAATTTTAGTTTATTTTCTTTGTACAGACTCACAAAAATAATACAAGTATTCGGCGTACGGGATGATGGCATCGCAATCACGTATCACGTAGAGAGCGGTGAAAACAATCCCTGCGGCACGTGACGAAGACGTGACCGATCACGTTGAAGGACATGTGACTCGTTACCTCCTTAATCAGTGATGGTTCTTTCCGGTCGGTTTTCAGTGGCTCAAACATTAATCGTAACAGTAGAAAGGTCATTCTCTGGACTTCATTGGGCTGTGCTGCATCATGGTCTTGCGGATGCTTCCAAAAATCAATTTCCGCCGTATGTTTTTACTTGAGCTTTATCTTAATTGCATTTTTTACCACTGGAATCTGGCTTGCTGGAGGAGGGCCTTCATCGATTAATTCTTTTTCAGGTTCCTGCAACAACAGCGGAACCAAAACTAAANTGTACAGACTCACAAAAATAATACAAGGTATTCGGCGTACGGGATGATGGCATCGCAATCACGTATCACGTAGAGAGCGGTGAAAACAATCCCTGCGGCACGTGACGAAGACGTGACCGATCACGTTGAAGGACATGTGACTCGTTACCTCCTTAATTAGTGATGGTTCTTTCCGGTCGGTTTTCAGTGGCTCAAACATTAATCGTAGCAGTAGAAAGGCCATTCTCTGGACTTCATTGGGCTGTGCTGTATCATGGTCTTGCGGATGCTTCCAAAAATCAATTTCCGCCGTATGTTTTTACTTGAGCTTTATCTTAATTGCATTTTTTACCACTGGAATCTGGCTTGCTGGAGGAGGGCCTTCATCGATTAATTCTTTTTCAGGTTCCTGCAACAACAGCGGAACCAAAACTAAATAAGGGCCTGTTTACATGAAGGTGGGGGACCCCAGGTAGGTGAGGTAACATGTGGCGGGTTACCCCACCAAACATGTAAACGTGATCAAATTAAAATGAGAGATTACATGGACAGGCGGGTTACCCCTCCTAAACGGGTTACCTCACCTACCTGGGGTCCCCCACCTCCATGTAAACAGGCCCTTAGAGAACAAGTTAAAATCGGGAAAGGGACAGGGATGATGAGTATATATGGAATATTTTGGCTGTTTAATTGGCTGTTGAAGGCCAAATGATTCGGTCGAAATTTTCCGAGTATGTAAAACAAAAAAAACAAACAAAAAAAATATATAGGGGCAATGACATTGATTAACAAACAACCACGCAACAATCAGAAAAAGTGATCACGTGCAAACAGTCTAATATTTTGCTGTCCAACACAGTAAAATAAGAGATAGGCACGTGACCACAATGCAAAAGATTTATGGATTATAACTGAGTTACAACAACGGCAGATAACTTTCAAGGTAAAGAAGGTGAATATATACAGCATTCATCCTTTAAAGCCACGTGCAAACGGACGCAACAGCTCCCAAAATTGTTGGCCTTAGAATGTTGGGAGTTGTTGCGTCCATGTTGGCGTTGGTGCGCAAACGGATGGAACGACTCCAGACAATGTTGAGACCTACAGTGCATCGTGGGAAGGATACAACCCATAAGACCATGTGGAATGCAAGTGCGTGGCCCCAAGAACGTTGAAAGAGCTGTTCAAACGGATGCTATTTCAACATTGTTGCACTATGCTTCGGCCATCACGGAACAAAAGACCTACCTGTTGGGGGTTGTTGGATCAAAAGTCTGACCGCCTTCGAACTCTGCACAACAACTTCCAACAACACGCGACAACATGCAACATGTGTGCAAACGGACGCAACATGTAACATCTAACAATGTTGGGCGTTGTTGGCCAGCAATGTCGTGACCATTTTCACGGGGTTTAAAAAACATTGTGACTCACATTCTGCCGTTCTTGTTGCAATTTTTCCTCGTTATTCGGTGATATCGATCTTTTTACAGCTCCTTTAGTCTCTTCAGGTTTGGGTATCTGGAAACGATAAACATAAAAGCTCTGAATGGCGAGTCTGCTTTTTATAACTGAAATGTTGACGCAACAGTTGTAGAATTGTCTTTGAAACTACTATTTAACAATTATTCTTTGAGCCCGAATGGGCTCTGAGTCAACAGCCCATGAGGCCGAAGGGCGAATGGGTTATTGACTCAGAGGCCATGAGGGCGAGAGGAATAATTGAAAATCCAACTAGTTGGTCAAGAATATCGAGACAAAACAACTTTAGCTAGTTAAAGCTAGACTTTAATCCTTGTTTGCTAGCGCTTTCCCCAACTAGTGGGCTATAACATATAGCCTAGTAGTAGCTCAACCAATCAGAAAGCAGCAATGATTATAGACCACTAGTTGGATTTTACTAATACACAATAGTTCGCTTACGTCTGCTTTCGTGCTGTTTTCACTTGTTGGGGATCCCTTGCCTTCGTTTACTTCACAAGTCTCTTGGCCTCGTCCCTACACACAGAATACATACATACGCTAACCACAGCTACAAAGGGACCAAGCAACCATTTAACAATTAAGTTTATCAAAAGTTTACACACAAATCGTGCCATTGAGCCCAAACTCCCTCTTGCCCACATCCTTTTAGTGGCTATTAAGCCTCTAATGGGATTTTTCATCAACACTCCGCTTTACATTTACGAATTTATATCTCACTGTACTCTATGTTAATGATACTAATGGGAGATATATATTTTAAGAGCGAAATTTACTGCATGCGATTTTAAAGTTATGATATGTATAGTTCACGTTGTCACTAAAAATTCTTCGCATAATCTGAGTAGCATGGTAAATACAGCACTGAAACATAGAAATCAGGTGGTCGCTTAAAGAGATTACAAACAACAGAGAATAATAACAAAACCATCACCCCCAAAAGTGGTAGCGGTCGCTTACGAGCAGTGGTCGTCTGCAAGAGGCTCCAACTATAAAGCTTTGACTGGGAAAATTGTTTTCGTTTTAAGAAAATGATCGCCTATAGGACGCGGTCGCTCACGAGAAAGGTCCGATTGTATACTAATTACCTTTACGTCGGGACACACCTGGGATAATAAAGGGAAAGTTATCACTCACCTCGGTCGGGTTGCCTGTGTTTCCATCCACTACACCTTCTGTACTTGACGATTCACCTGAAGACTAATAAAAAAAGGTAACAGGTAAATGGAACGCATCAAGAAGGAGACATAGTTGCTCTTGCTAAACAAATATGAAAAAAAAAAAGAAAAAAAAGAATCTTTTGTTACAAGAACCAATATACCAGAAATGGCAACGCCACAACCTTTCACCAAGTCTACCCATGATAGTGTCTCTCTCTGCTATACTAAATCACTCACTAGAGGACAGACAACTTAGGTAATTTTCAAGGCCAGAACATGGAAGGGGTGGAGAGCGGGGGGTGGGGGGCAATAAATTGTTTACCATCGTCCCAAATTTAAGTTCAATGTCGTTCATAAGCGATTTATAAACTTCCGTTTCTTTAAATTCTTCCTCAGTAATTCCATCTTCTTTTTCTTCTTCCTCTTCGTTTGAAGTGTCCTGGGAAAGATCAGATGATTAACGGCATATCAACAGACAAGACTTCTGTAATTTGTGGGAATTTGAAGCGTTCTTGTATTCATGTACCACGCTTTTTCGTTTCCTTGGTGAGAGCTACGAGGGTAAAAGTAACGATGGATCAAAGTTCGAAGGTCTTTTGGTCAGGTTAGACTTCGCTTCGGAACCTTTTTCTGTCGCGAGATGCTCTCTGGAAGATCCAGGGTCAAATTTTACTGTTACTGATGCTTCTCCATCTTTCATTATCACCTTTACGAACAGATCTGCTTCTCGTCCGGGTTAGAGCAAACGGTTTTATGAGTGAGAGCAAGCTTTTCTTTTTCTCCCACCTAGCCATTCTGACAAATTTTACACAAAGAATTAAACTCACCTTGTTCGGCTCCAACTTTATCCTTTTCTGTGGACTGTCACCGTCAGCAGAGTTAGGCCGCTTCCTTGAATTTTCACCGTTAATCGAATCAACAGAACTGACCGCCTTCAAGTAACGAAACAAAATAATCCTTAATTGAAATATGTGAAAAGAATCATATTTTTGAACTACGGATAAAGATATGAAAGTGAAAATTATCTTCGCAGCAGTGAATAACCTAAGCGGGTGACTAAAAGCCTGAAAAAATTCAGGCTTGACCGAGAACCGAACCCTGACCTTTGCGATAACTGGACGTAACGCTCAGGTTCTTTTTCAGCAACTTAGGTTTTTCGTTCTACTGCGAAGATTACGTTCACGTTCACAAATAATAACTAGATTATTTTTACAAGGGCATAGGTCAGACACTCCCTTTGACTGAAGAATTCACCCAATAAATGATTTTCTCATCCAAATAAAAAATAAACACCCAAGACCAACAGTGAGTTCCTCACAGTAGTTTTACCGCACTTGGCGCTAGTTACAGGCATTTGCTTTGAGATGTGATTGGTTAGTTTAATTACCAGCTCTTGTTATTATTGGTCAAGGCACTCTCAACAGTGAGTTGTCCACAGCAGTTTCAAGCGCTGGGTGACGGTCACACGCATTTGCTATGAGATTCGAGATATGATTGACTAGTTTAATTATCAGCAGCTCGTACTATGATTGGACAAGGCATTCTCAACAGCGATTGACTGGTTCAAAGACTATTCAGCCACAATAAGTTGGGAAATGAATCTTAGTATTAAAAAGCACAATCAAGCTATCTGTGACAAGTTACCCGATCTTTGGGAAGGAGAAACAACGAGAATTGACAATATTAATAATAACAAACCGAGTTTTCGGTGTTATCCAATCGAGGTTTCTTGCTCTCTTTTTCGGATTCTTTAGGAGAACTAGGTCGCTTCAATCCAGTAGGCTGAGAAAGAAAGGAAAAGAAGTTACAAAGAAAGGGAAAACATCTTGCAACCATAAGAATACAGCTCAAAGTTACAAGTCATTTTTAAAACGCATACCCTGTCCTGTGAAACCGCTGACGGCTCAGCAGGAACTGCAGTTGTATCTGATGACGTCACTTCACCAACTGTTGACACGGGGGCTGTAAAGGCAGACACCACAGGCGGCACTTTTTTATCATCTGAACTACTGACAACTGCTACGAAAGAACACGAAGTTATGAAAGATCAAGAATGCCTTCTCATTTGAACGGCGGAAATTTTTGAATGCTCCAGACGCAAAGGCTTACTCAAGTGCACTGAAGGATAAATGGATGTCTGTCACGTGGTGTGAAGCGAAAGTAATGATTTGATACGTTTGTGATCTTAACTATATAATATCGACGATTTTTACTAAAGTTAGTTATTTTTTCGCGATTTCACGCCGGGCTCCAAGAGAAAATACGGTACTGTAGAAAGGGAACGTTGACATGTCACGTGGCTTCCATTCGCCACTAGGGAAACGGGAGGGAGACTGGAACGAGTTAACCTCCGCAAAGACTTCTGGGAACTGTTACTGGAGACAGGCAAAAGAAAAATTGGCCAATAGCTGACTGGCACGTCACCAGTAACGATCCCAGAAGCAATTGCGGGACGCACTTCGGCTCCAGTTCCCACCTTGTTTCTAACGTAGCTCCCACTAGGAGACTGTTGCTTTACCTGTTTGTTCATTGTTTTCCTTTCCGCTTGTCGAATCAGCACCATCAATGATTTCTGTAGTAGTATCCAGGCTCAAATCGCTGGCATTAAGTGTTGAGTCAAGCGACACATCTGCTTTACCACCATCCGATTTAGCTGTTACTCCAACAGTACTCTGATTAATCCCAGAAAGACATTTTGCAATTTTAGATCACAAAGCATTAGAAACAAAAACAATACTCAAATATCTAAACCTAACCGCCATCTCCTACGATCTAAATAAAATTTCTAATTCATGAATTTTAAACTTTTCTGGGCGATTTGTACGAGTCTAGCCTTTTTCAGACGTTCTGGCAGTGGAGTGTGGCGGGAAGTCAGAGAGCGGCAGAAAAAAGGGGGAAAGAGAGGGAAAGAGGAAGAAACTTTCGCTATCACTCCCTACCCCACCCCCTCGCTGTTTTTCCTGCTCACATCTCATTGCACCGTCTCATAACATAACGTAACATAAAACTTTATTTATACTCGAATTTTAGAGTAGCTAACAAGCTAACATCTTCGAGCAACAATCTGAACGCCTGAGACAGGATAGTACGAGTCAAACAAAGAATATTTTTAGTTGACCAAGCAATCAAGATTGATCTAATAGCCCAAGTTCGTTATATTTACAATTCTAACACGACTCCGAGGCTTAAGGGTCAAAACTGCAAATTTTTCGCGACTCCACTGCTCACAATTCCCAGAAGAGACTTGAGCAAAAACAAAACCAAACCAGATATAGAAAAACGACCAGAAAGCCTCGGAGTCACGTTAAACCTATTGTCTAACCTCCTAAGAGGGGCACTTGGCCCACGTTCAGGAATTGGAGGGCCACTTATCCTGTTCAGGCAATAAAGAAGATAAAACCCAATACCGTGGACAAAATACATGCCCGTCTCGTTTTACTGACAGATACAGGAGAAGTATAAAGTAGAAGAAATGTACCTCCTTTTTGCCATCTGATGGTGCAGCAGAGCTTCTCTTTTTCTGCTTAAGAACACTTGCTGGTAAATACTCACTGAGCTGCTTTCTGTACAAAAACAAAACAAAACAAAACACGTAAACAACACCGATATAAGTATAGTCAATTGCAATTTACTGCAATCAAACACGTGCTATCATGGCAAACAAAAGATTGCAGACAAAAGATTTGTGACGCCAAAAGAGGCAAACTTGTCCCCATTCTCTGGGATACAATTTTGATGACAATTGGCCATTTATGACTGCCAAAAAGAAGGAAAATTTTTTCATTTCTCCTACAACTTTCGTTTGGCTTTAAGTGAAGCCATGATAAGCCAAAAAAGTGTAAGAATCAAGGCCTAAAACAAATAAGGTAAGGTTATGAAAATCAAAACGATTAATGGATTAACAGAGTCATAGATTTAAATCACAGAATATGATTTGCATTGAAATTGAGTCTGGGGTGCTTACCATTTACACAATCCACCCGGGTGAAAATCTTTTGCATAAACACAAAACTATAAAATGTGATGTGACGGGAGAACGAGCAGCTACAAAATATATCCAGATCAGCTGGACCGACTAGGAAAACTTTTATCACCTCAATCACAGCCCATATTTTCTGCAGTTTCCCAAACATATCGGTGAGAACTATTTGATTTTCCTACTGGAATTTCTGATTTTTCCATGTAAATAGTAAGCACACCTAGTTTACTCACTTTTTCACATGTTTGGCCTCTGTTCTCATTCCCTCCTTCAACATTTTCGCCGTCATAGCTTGCATATGAACTGCAGAAAAAGTGTGCCAAGATTAAAAGATAAAAATGAGACTATGAAACTCTTAATCCAGGTAGCTGCTGATACAGCTTGGAATCATGACCTTGTGTCCCACTCCCCTTACCCCCGACAAACAAAGAAACCAAACAGTGCTTTTGGTTTATGTGTAGTCTTAAAGGGAACTGTAACATGAAATTCAACCAAATTCAGACAGGAGAACTGGCCACCTTATTGTGTGGAACACAAAAATAACTACTAAGGTGACATTACACAAGACGATTTGCAACGACGATTTTGAGTGCAACACAGTGTAGCATTGTTGGAACAATGTTGTAATGCTGTGTTGTACTAAAAATCGTTGTTGCGAATGGTCCCATGTAAAAACATCACCTTTAAAAGGCTTGTGTCAGTGGCTTCCTAGTTCATTTTGTTAAAATTGCCAATTACTCTTTCTTAGGGCACTTTCCACAAGTCAGAACAGTCCAGCCGAACTATAGCAAGACCAGTCATTTTGACAATGAAAAATGCTTTTTCCAAGAGTTTTTGTTGAAACACTACCTGCTTCGTGCATACTATTTAGGATTTGACAGATCTGGCTGGATAGTTTTGATCAAAAGTGAAATTCTCACATGACTGGAATGGTCTGGCTAGTCAGTTCTGAAAAATGGAAGCGCCATTAGCCTCAATGGAACTTAGGGTTGGCAAGAAAAAAAACTTGCAAATGACAAAACCACTGCTTTATATCAAACAACTTTGTCCCCCAAGCATTATATCAAAAGCTGAAGACAAACAGAATGAACTTTGAAAAACTGTTAGGCTAACAAGTTTTCAATCCATTTCAATCCTCTTCAAGTTTGTCCATCCATGCCTCCTTTTATAATAGTTCAACGTTCTTTTATAGTTTGGAGCTGTTATTTTTAAGTGTCACTCAATTTGTTTGCAGTTCCCACTGTCTCAATTTTGATGAATGTCGTAACACAGCTCCCTTAAAACACTGAAAGCACTGTTGAAATAAATGCAGTAAACAAAAAAAAAAAAACAAAGAAGAGAAAATTTGAATAAAGGAATACTAAAAAGAGCCAGATAAATACAAACAAAACCCCCTACCGTCGTTAACTCCTCAAACACAACAAAAACACAACACAACAAAAATGTTTCTTTAAATTCTTCCTCAGTAATTCCATCTTCTTTTTCTTCTTCCTCTTCGTTTGAAGTGTCCTGGGAAAGATCAGATGATTAACGGCATATCAACAGACAAGACTTCTGTAATTTGTGGGAATTTGACGCGTTCTCGTTTTCATGTACCACGCTTTTTCGTTTCTTTGGTGAGAGCTACAAGGGCAAAAGTAACGATGGATCAAAGTTCGAAGGTCTTTTGGTCAAGTTAGACTTCGCTTCGGAACCTTTTTCTGTCGTGAGATGCTCTCTGGAATATCCAGGGTCAAATTTTACTGTTACTGATGCTTCTCCATCTTTCATTGTCACCCTTACTAACAGATCTGCTTCTCGTCCAGGTTAGAGCAAACGGTTTTAGAGTGAGAGCAAGCTTTTCTTTTTCTCCCACCTAGCCATTCTGACAAATTCTACACAAAGAATTAAACTCACCTTGTTCGGCTCCAACTTTACCCTTTTCTGTGGACCGTCACCGTCAGCAGAGTTAGGCCGCGTCCTTGCATTTTCACCGTTAATCGAATCAACAGAACTGACCGCCTTCAAGTAACGGAACAAAATAATCCTTAATTGAAATATGTGAAAAGAATCATAGATTTGAACTACGGATAAAGATATGAAAGTAAAAATTATCTTCGCTGCAGTGAATAACCTAAGCGGATGACTAAAGGCCTGAAAAAATTCAGGCTTGACCGAGAACCGAACCCTGACCTTTGCGATAACTGGACGTAACGCTCAGGTTCTTTTTCAGCAACTTAGGTTTTTCATTCTACTGCGAAGATTATGTTCATGTTCACAAAATAATAATTAGATTATTTTTACAAGGGCATAGTTAGACACTCACTTTGACTGAAGAATTCACCCAATAAATGATTTTCTTATCCAAATAAAAAATAAACACCCAAGACCGACAGTGAGTTCCTCACAGCAGTTTTACCGCACTTGGCGCCAGTCACAGGCATTTGCTTTGAGATGTGATTGGTTAGTTTAATTACCAGCTCTTGTTATTATAGGCCAAGGCACTCTCAACAGTGACTTTTCCACAGAAATTTCCAGCGCTGGGTGACGGTCACACGCATTTGCTTTGAGATTTGACATATGATTGACTAGTTTAATTATCAGCAGCTCGTACTATGATTGGACAAGGCATTCTCAACAGCGATTGACTGCTTCAAAGACTATTCAGCCACAATAAGTTGGGAAATGAATCTTAGTATTAAAAAGCACAATCAAGCTATCTGTGACAAGTTACCCGATCTTTGGGGAGGAGAAACAACGAGAATTGACAATATTAATAATAACAAACCGAGTTTTCAGCGTTATCCAATCGAGGTTTCTTGCTCTCTTTTTCGGATTCTTTAGGAGAGCTAGGTCGCTTCAATCCAGTAGGCTGAAAAAGAAAGGAGAAGAAGTTACAAAGAAGGGGAAAAAATATTGCAACCATAAAACATAGCTCTAAGTTACAAGTCATTTTTAAAGCGCATACCCTGTCCTGTGAAACCGCTGACGACTCAGCAGGAACTGCAGTTGTATCTGATGACGTCACTTCACCAACTGTTGACACGGGGGCTGTAAAGGCAGGCACCACAGGCAGCACTTTTTTATCATCGGAACTACTGACAACTGCTACGAAAGAACACGAAGTTATAAAAGATCAAGAATGCCTTCTCATTTGAACGGCGGAAATTATTGAATGCTCCAGACGCAAAGGCTTACTCTAGTGCACTGAATGAATGTCTGTCAAGTGGTGTGAAGCGAATTTAATGATTTGACACGTTTGTGATCTTAACTATATAATATCGTCGATTTCTACTAAAGTTAGAGTTATTTTTGCGCGATTTGACGCCGGGCTCCAAGAGAAAATACGGTAATATAGAAAGGGAATGTTGACATGTCACGTGGCTTCCATTCGCCGCTATGGAAATGAGAGGGAGACTGGACCGAGTTAACTTCCGCAAAGACTTCTGGGACCGTTACTGGGGACAGGCAAAAAAAAATCTTGGCCCATAGCTGACTGGCACGTCACCAGTAACGATCCCAGAAACAATTGCAGGACGCATTTCGGCTCCAGTTCCCACCCTGTTTCTGACATAGCTCCCAGTAGGAGACTGTTGCTTTACCTGTTTGTTCATTGTTTTCGTTTCCGCTTGTCGAATCAGCACCATCAATGATTTCTGTAGTAGTATCCAGGCTCAAATCGCTGGCATTAAGTGTTGAGTCAAGCGACACATCTGCTTTACCACCATCTGATTTAGTTGTTACTCCAACAGTACTCTGATTAATTCCAGAAAGACAATTTGCAATTTTAGATCACAAAACATTAGAAACAAAAACAATACTCAAATATCTAAACCTAACCGCCATCTCCTACGATCTAAATAAAATTTCTAATTCATGAATTTTAAACTTTTCTGAACGATTTGTACGAGCCTAGCCTTTTTCAGACGTTCTGGCAGTAGAGTGTGGCGCGAAGTCAGAGAGCGGCAGAAAAAAGGGCGGAAGAGAGCGAGAGAGGAGGAAACTTTCGCTCTAACTCCCTACCCCACCCCCTCGCTGTTTTTCCTGCTGACATTTCTTGGCACCGTCCCAACAATGTGAACGCCTGAGACAGGATAGCACGAGTCAAACAAAGAATATTTTTAGTTGCCCAAGCAATCAAGATTGATCTAATAGCCCAAGTTCGATATATTTACAATTCTAACATGACTCCGAGGCTTTAGGGTCAAAATTGCGAATTTTTCGCGACTCCATTGTCTCACAATTCCCAGAAGAGACTTGAGCACAAAGAAAATCAAACCAAATATAGAAAAATGACCAGAAAGCCTCCGAGTCATGTTAAACCTATTGTCTAACCTTCTAAGAGGGGCACTTGGCCCATGTTCAGGAATTGGAGGGCCACTTATCCTGTTTAGGCAATAAAGAAGATAAAACCCTATACCGTGGACAAAATACATGCCCTTCTCGTTTTACTGACAGATACAGGAGAAGTATAAAGTAGAAGAAATTCACCTCCTTTTTGCCATCTGATGGTGCGGCTGAGCTTCTCTTTTTCTGCTTAAGAACACTTGCTGGTAAATACTCACTGAGCTGCTTTCTGTACAAAAACAAAACAAAACAAAAAGAAAGTATAGTCAATTGCAATTTACTGCAATTAAACACGTGCTATCATGGCAAACAAAAGATTGCCTACAAAAGATTTGTGACGCCAAAAGAGGTAAACTTGTCTTCACTCTCTGGGTTACAATTTTGATGACGATTGGCCATTTATGACTGCCATGGCTTTAAGTAAAGCCATGATAAGCCAAAAAAAGTGTAAGAATCAAGGCCTAAAACAAGTAAGGTAAAGTTATGAAAATCAAAACGACTAATGGATTAACAGAGTCACAGGTTAAAATCACAGAATATGATTTGCATTGAAATTGAGTCAGAAAATAAAGTGTTGATCAGGGGTGCTTACCATTTACACAATCCACCCGGGTGAAAATCTTTTGCATAAACACAAAACTATAAAATGTGATGTGATGGAAGAACGAGCAGCTACAAAATATATCCAGATCAGCTGGACCGACTAGGAAAACTTTTATCACCTCAATCACAGCCTATATTTTCTGAAGTTTCCCAAACATATCGGTGAGAACTATTTGATTTTCCTACTGGAATTTCTGATTTTTCCATGTAAATAGTAAGCACACCTAGATTACTCACTTTTTCACATGTTTGGCCTCTGTTCTCATTCCCTCCTTCAACATTTTCGCTGTCATAGCTTGCATATGAACTGCAGAAAAAGTGTGCCAAAATTAAAAGATAAAAATGAGACTATGAAACTCTTAATCCAGGTAGCTGCTGATACAGCTTGGAATCATGACCTTGTGTCCCACTCCCCTTACCCCCGACAAACAAAGAAACCAAACAGCGCTTTTGGTTTATGTGTAGTCTTAAAAGGGAACTGTAACATCAAATTCAACCAAATTCAGGCTAACAAGTTTTCAATCCATTTCAATCCTCTTCAAGTTTGTCCATCCATGCCTCCTTTTATATTTGCTGTGTTAGTTCAACGTTCTTTTATAGTTTGGAGCTGTTATTTTTAAGTGTCACTCAATTTGTCTGTGGTTACCACTGTCTCAATTTGGATGAATGTCGTATTAAACACAGCTCCTTTAAAACACTGAAAGCACTGTTGAAATAAATGCAGTAAACAGAAAAGAAGGCATAGATGGGTAAATTTGAATAAGGGGTTTCTAAAAAGAGCCTGATAGTTAGCAAAGTTCGCCCCTGCTGTTTGTAACTCTTAAACAAAATACAAAACACAACACAACAAAAGAAAACTGTTTAGCACTTTTAAATTACAAACCAGTGTTTGTAAACATCTGAATAGCTCCAGTCAAATCAATGTTCACATTTTCTGTGGATGCACACAAAATAAGGACAAAATAATTTTTTAATAATGTTAATGACAAGATATAAAGGAAAATGAAGCCGTGAGTCATTTCACAAGTAGGTTGAACATGATCGTACGAGTGAACATAGTCCTGAATAGGACTGTTGTTGACAGTGACTGACATTATGATAACCCATTACCTGTGCAGTAGTAATCTTCAGTGTCAAAGTGAGTTGAATCACGTCAGTTGATGGTACATGTATTTAACTCTAGTTATTAACCTGATTGGTCAATTACATCACGATAATATGGGTCATCTATCAGTTAAACAGGTTTAAGTTACTTATGACAGAGAGCGACAGAAATTCCATACTGATGACATAAAATCTGTCCGGAATCTGGTTAGAAGCGCTGATTGGTCGACGGAGCAGTTACATTGTTTTAGCTATTGTTTATGAATGACAGACAAAAAACAAAAGGCCACAAAGGTCGAATGTAAATGCGAAGAATCTTTAACAAAACAAGTCAATATTTCTGGAATATGTTCTTCTCTAGAAGAAGCATTTGAGTTTTGCTGGAGCTTGTTGGCAGATGAACACAACACCTCACCAAAATCGACCAGAAGACACGCAAAATTGGACAAAGTTATATTTGCAACCCCATGACTACCGGATTTATTATGTAAACATAACATCCCCAGCGGCGAAGAGAAACAGATGGTTTGCAGGCTAAAGAATGCTAAAAGTGGGAATGCGGATATTTTTTTTCTTTTTGCACACGCATACTTTTTGGAAACAAAGCAAAAACAAGCAAGAAAACTTTCAGAGCAGTTTGTCTACTGTTTGTCACAAGCAAAAATTCTGTAACTTTGAAGGACTTTCAAACATGACCAAAAAATGGAGGGGCCGTCTTGCAAGTTGTTAATAATACTGAAAGAACAACATTGTATGTATAAATTAAATTAAGACAGTTATTTAAAGGGAATTTAGCCAGTGTTTAACAAAACTGTGTTCTAAGCCATTTTCAGTTTGCAAAAGCTTTTACGTAAACACCATTAATCCTGAAAAGGTTTAATGAAAGAATTTAGCGTAGACTAGAAAAGCATTTGTCTTCTTAAGGTAACCAAGTGATGAAGATATCTGGAGGTTCAAAGATTTCTTAAACCGCGGTTTCAGTTAGACTTTGTTTAAATTTCGTCCCTAACCATTAGAGCCCCAATAACCAGATTCAAATTCTCCAAACGGATTTCCATACATTTACTTAAAGAATTGATTGAGAGAATTTGACAAATGATCATATAATTCTCCTTAAGATGATTATTTTAATAATTCTCATAACTTTTTCTCTTGATCATGTACTGATAATTTTAGGAGAAAATAATAATTGATGCTGGTAATGACCTTACCTTTTTTCTCAAACTGTAACCCAATAAACCACCTAGTAGTAGGAGCAGCCCTAGAAAACACACCATTAAAAAGAAGGCAAGCTTGACATAAAAATATAGTGTCATATAATAATAAGAAATCCACCAATGATATTTTAGGATTAATCATAATTTAATAATACATGAAAATCACTTATCCACTTATCACTAACCATAACATAAATAATCAAACTTTTTTTCAAGCTTGAAATATAGCTAGAAATAATATTGGCAAGGCTCTTCTCAACTTCTCTTCACAAAAATGAACAAATGAGACAAAAATCCAGGCATCTTGACTGAACATACTTAGTTGAGCAATAAAGGATTCATTTCATTTGAAAAGAGAAACTGATTTCTTTCTTCTAGGAACAAAGCCGACAATGTAGACACATCTTCCCCATTTGCCTAACCAATATAAAAGCGTAAGTATAGATTCACCTTGCCTGCCCAAGGAGCAAGCCATAATAATAATTGATCTTTCATCCCTAAAAGGTGAGCAGTCACAGGAAAAATGATTGCACGAAGGACTTGCTCATACAATGCTCTTTGTGTGCGGAGAATAGACCAAAATGACAAGAGCAATTACGTAGAATTGAGCTATACTACTGTATTAAATTTTATGTGCATTACGTCTTAAATTGACATTTTGAATCCTGTAATCTTTTAATAGAGAATTGAATCAATCTCTGCACTAAAGCCAAAACTATTTATTGTGCTTAAGTAAATTAATAGCCAAAGACGGAGAAAGAAACCTTACTTGTCAGGTACTAGTGCAGGAAATGACTTTGGTTGAACATGAGCTAACAGGACATATTGAGTGTTCTCCAGGTTTGATATCAGAATTCTGATTTTTGACTCGACTAAACCAATCCTGAAAGAAAAATAAACTGAGCTCAACTTTCTTTCACCCTGGGATGTAAAGGAGGTATACCACTTGATCCCAAGAGTTTTCCCAAAGGTTTAGGATTAGAACAAGCCACAAGTTCGTCTCTTCAGTCACTGTTCATTTATTGCGAAATAAACTATTATTCCTCACACATATTTTGACAGTACCCTTAAAATTTTAGTTTCATGTACAAATTCTATTGACTGATTTCTGTGCATTTCCTGGCTACCCTTCTTGGGCTTCAAAATTGTAGACCAAACTAAATTGTAAAACTTAAATGCACAAACAAGTACCAGTTTAACTTGACTCACCATTCTAAATGATCCTCTTCACAGTTTGATATGGCACTTAACACAATATAGTGTCTGAAATGTGGAGAACAGAATTCACCAGCCATAAATGACCTGCCAGCATGCATACAGCTCTAACTGGCAATCCGCAAGACAACAGACTCAAATGCACTTAAAAAAAATTTTAGTTTTCACAGCTTTTTGGGGTTGTTAAATTGCAGCTGTGAATGTAAGACAATGAAAGACAGGAAACAATATCCAATATTTTGTTCAATAATGTTATGAAAGGAATGAAACTTTGAAATATAACAGATTTAAACATGAACCAACTGAGAATACACGATAACTTGTTATGGAATGCCCAGAAAGCCTGTAATTCACAGCAAATGAAAGCAAAAATCAGTTTTGGGAATGTTGCTGAGGAAAACCTGCACCTTAAGAACACCTACTGATAAAGCAAAAATATTGTTTCTTTACCATTAATTCAGAAATAGTTGTGTGGAAAGAACAGATTATGAAACACACCACAGTAACAAAGCAGAGATTCTTTATTGCAATAGCAAGTTCAAGATATACATTTAGATGACGAAAATCATTCAAGCCAAGGGAAGGAGGGCTTGAGGCTAGATTAAGACACACAATTAGACAAGGAAAAATTATGTACTTGTATTTGCTAAAGAAGTTGGGTTGTTGAAAAAGTACATCCCAAGTGGACTTGCCAATCAATGCATCACTTGTAACTTTAAGGCCTGCAAAAAAAGGTAACCACAGAGTATATTGACATTTGCAAGCTGAACTTAAAATTTCTACTGGCAGAAAGTTGACTGATGACAAACTACCATGTCAACTATCAAAAGCTAATAAACATCGAAGGTTAGCCCTAAAATAAATTATTGTTTGACATAAAAATTCTGTATTCTACTGAAAATAATTGATAAGAGAACTATTATTTTGCATTTCTATCAAATAATTATTTACATGTATTGGACAAACACCTTGCTTTTCTGTCATTGGCCAGACAGCTTGGCCATGGACTGGGCTGTGCTCTAGCAGAGCCCGGTGGCCTGTGGTGCCTAACTTTTGCTCTTGGGCAACTAGAAAATATTACGTTTTTTCACAAAAATCATATGCTGGGCACCCTGGATTTTACATGTTCAGAGCACTGGGCTCCCTTCAATTTTCCTTAGAGAACAGCCCTGCATGGGAATTGCAGCATTTACATGTGTGTAAATTGCATGCAATATGAGGATTTACAAGCAAAATACTCCTACAGGTGTAAAATACCGACAGGCCATACATCACCTGTCCTTGAAAATGTTTGAAAACATCAGAAAGATTTCAAAAAGAATAGCGAATCATTCTACATCACAGTTTCAATCACTTAACAAGGAGCATCGGAAAATTTTAAAAGACACTCAAATGATTAAACTGCAATCTACAAAGTGAAATGGAATCGACACTAATTTTTGTAGCTGCCTAAGTGAAAGAAATGATCATTCTATTTTTCCCCAAAATATGATGGACATTCAGAGTACGCCTTGAGGGTGAGAGATCTTCATTCATTGTTCACAGATTTTAGCCAAAGAAAAAAGTTATCAAATACACACAGTCCAGGGGTAAAATTTTAAACTCAGTTTCCGAAAATTTACATGTATCTTCTCATGCATTTTTGCATGTAGTTTTTATTTACTTTGCGTGCAACATGGCAGATTTACACACAAGAAACGTGCGCATGTAATGCTACAATAATTATTCCTGTGGCCTGTACTCTATGAGCCCATAGACAGCAAGTAGTACATCAACCAATCAGAATGCAGAATTGCAGAAAAATACAAGAAGTGTATCACACATTTACATGTACAAGCAGAGTATGAGCTGTCAAATGGGGAAAATGATGAGCACCAGAAATATTTCTTGAATGTTATTGTGTTGCAAGAAAAAAGCCAATCAGGCATGAGAAATTAAACTACAAGCAAGAATGTTAATTAGCTTGTAGTTTTGTGACTACAAATTCAGTTCCTTCTCCAACACAGTCTCGGACAAAAATAGTTCGCACACACCCAATGCTGTTTTTTTTACTTCTGGCCCATTCTCCTGATCCTCCCAATGTTTTTTTATCACAGTTAACTGACCAAATCTTGCACACCAACATTGGGAGGGCAAGGAGACAGCAAAGTGTCTGAACTATTCTCATTCGTATAAAAGCCGCCGCGTGACGATTTAATCAACTAGATTACTGAGTGCTCCCTCGGGAAGCAGTCTATTGGTCCTTTACGGTCCCCAGGGAAATTCCCTAGGCCTTTTATACGCCCTAGCAAACAAATTCACCGTCTTCTCGCAAGTCTACTCTACAACGGACAAGCAAGTTTCATTCTTCCGCAACGCGACCAGAGCCGCTGAAGCTCTTTCATGGCTCTCGTCCCTGTTTAACCAGACCCAGCTGATGCGGTAGCTATTGCTTCGACAGAGCCTCAACCAGCACCAACACCATCCACCTAAGTATCATGTTTTAATTTCTCGCTTCCCCCTTTTCTTGTCAATTTGTCACATACGTGGCGTTTATCTTTTTCACCATTCTGTTCTGGAGTTTGTTTACGTTAGCGCTTTTAGGCGTCTGTGCAACGTGCCAGAGGTAAGGCGACCCTTATTTGATTATTGTCGCGTCTTTTGCGTCTGTTACAGTAGAACGAAAACGAGCCGGAACATATTTACGTTGGCGCTTCATGGCGTCTGTGAAACGTAAAGGAGAATCTCAACAGTGCAGTTCAGTGGAATGTATTTAATTACGTTGGCGCCCTTCGGCATCTGTGAAACGTATAATGAAGAGAAAGACATTACGTTGACGCTTCTTAGCGTTTGTGAAACGTAAAGGAGGATCCCAGCAGCTCTACTCAGTGGCATGTTTTTAATCAGTTACGTTGGCGCCTTTTGGCGTCTGTGAAACGTACAATCAAGGGATAGACATTACGTTGACGCTTCTTAGCGTTTGTGAAACGTAAACGAAGATCTCACCAACGCAGTTCGGTGGCATGTTTTTAATTTCGTTGGTGCCCTTTAACGTCTGTGAAACGTACAATGACGAACAGACATCTTTGGCTTTACTTCGCGACCGTCCATCGTTCATTTGGTCTACAGTCTTTGATGCTTTATGGCATTTTACGTGTATGTATTGAAAGATTTTAGAATAAGGTGACCAGTTGTTTATTTTTCCCGTTCGTTTCCTACTCATTGTATTGTCAACATTTTGTATAATTTCTGCACATTGCATTGTCAGCATACTCCGTGCCCCCTCGCAGCTGTTCCCTTGAGACGTCTCACTTTTTATATTGTGTTTATTCTTCCTCACCTATTACACTTGTGATCTTAGAGGTCACATAGCAGAAACAGAAAGTGACGTAACTCCTAGATATCAGTAACCACATTCTCTTTACTCCAGCGTACAGCCTTAATAAATTTGCACGAGTTTCCTTGTATATTATATTTTCTTTGGCTTTTGCTTACTATATTTCCTTACCCCACACTTGAGTGGTGCTCAGGGGGGGTTCCTAAACACACCCCTCATCCAGTCTTCGGACGGTGTCCTGACTCGACTCAACTGTGGGGTTCCCTCCCAGCCTCCCTCTTTCGCAGGGTCTTTCCTTCTTTTTATCTCCTCCCATTCGGATTTCTCTAACCGGGTTACACATGCTGCAAGTCACCCTTCAGCTTTCCTTTAGCGTATCCGGGAGGGAAAGCCCCACAGTTGGGCCGGGCCATTCCCCTCAATTGAATCCGTCACATCTGGGAGGCATTATGCCAACACTGCCCATCTCTCTAAGGGAGTTTTTGTGGGTTTTTCTGAGTTTCGGGGAGATTTGGCTGTACTGCAAGTTAATGAGGTATTCTGCAATAATTTACCGTCTTTTGGATGAGTCTATAGCACCCCTGGTGTCGGGCAAAATTTTTCACCCATAACTTATCCATCAAAAGGCATAAAGTGGCTTTTATGCGAATGTGAATTAGTTACTATTCTCATTCGTATAAAAGCCGCCGCGTGACGATTTAATCAACTAGATTACTGCGTGCTCCCTCGGGAAGCAGTCTATTGGTCCTTTACGGTCCCCAGGGAAATTCCCTAGGCCTTTTATACGCCCTAGCAAACAAATTCACCGTCTTCTCGCAAGTCTACTCTACAATGGGCAAGCAAGTTTCCCCACCCTCCTCCCCTTCAGCGGCGCTGGCAAATTTTCGCTATCAGCCCACCTTATGCCTTAGGCAAAATTTTTCACCCATAACTTATCCATCAAAAGGCATAAAGTGGCTTTTATGCGAATGTGAATTAGTTACTATTCTCATTCGTATAAAAGCCGCCGCGTGACGATTTAATCAACTAGATTACTGCGTGCTCCCTCGGGAAGCAGTCTATTGGTCCTTTACGGTCCCCAGGGAAATTCCCTAGGCCTTTTATACGCCCTAGCAAACAAATTCACCGTCTTCTCGCAAGTCTACTCTACAATGGGCAAGCAAGTTTCCCCACCCTCCTCCCCTTCAGCGGCGCTGGCAAATTTTCTCTATCAGCCCACCTTATGCCTTATGCAAAATTTTTCACCCATAACTTATCCATCAAAAGGCATAAAGTGGCTTTTATGCGAATGTGAATTAGTTACAATTTTGACCGAGACTGTGGTTCACATATAATGATCTTTGCTGTGATTGGTCATAACACAATAAACATTCCTGAAGTATTTTAAGTGTTCATGGTTTTGCCAGTTTCACTGAAATGGTCCTGACCTTGTGATAAAAATAATCAACTTACAAAATGGGAAAAAAGGTTGATTGTCGTGAGTTATCAAAATAAATAATTTTCACTTACCAATATCAAATTCTTCTTTCATTATAGTTCTTGTTGAAAATGACACATTGAATGTTGAGTTCTGCTGAGGATAAGCAGGTGTTATGATGGGCATCAAGTGATAACGGTCTGCAGGATTACTCTGTCAAAAAAAAACAAGTAGTTCTTCAGTGACTCACATAATTAGTTTTAGTAAATTCTTTTTATTTGTCAGTAAGTAAGTATTTGTCATTATAATTATTTTCAGTAAATTCTTTCTATTTGTCAGCAACATGCATGATGGAGTGTTCTCAAAGTCATTTTAATATTAATGACTACATTCAACGAGGTTAGGATATTGGGTTTGAAGTGATTACAATAAAATTTTACGAACTTAAGCTTTAGATTTCTTCAAGAGAAAAAAATAATCATCATTTAAGAAGGTATATCGGGCACTTGAAAGGTTGTTTCATGTCTGATTTCTAAACCTTACTTTTTAACCCCCTTCTTGTTATCTGGATAACCTAATTAAACAATGCAACTAATTGATATCTTCATATGTACATCAATGTAAAACAAATTTTAACAACAGATTGCTAGTGTAAAACTGACAGTTGATTAAAAGCTGCTTACCCTAGGATCCCAGACTGGAAAATTCAGTTTTTCTGAAGGTATGGCGATGTTTTTCAAGAGAACAGGATTTGGCCACTCCCTGTTAACGCAACCAAAATTAACACATCATATAAATTATTTACCAAGAAACAAAATAAACTTTTTTTCCAGGGGTCACTTACAGTTTAGCTCCTAAAATAACAAAATTGTGCAACCAGAATGTACCGTTCCATTGGGCACATGAAATTTCAGAAATTTCAAACCAGAATTTTTGTTCAATAGAAAGCGCCCTTTGTTTCCTGTATGTGTTACACCACTCAGACTATATGAAGAACTGTCAGTGACATAATTGCACACAATAAATTCTCTGCCAAAACTTAAATGTCTCGGGACCTTTGCTCGGAAGATACCCCCTGTGCTTCGATTCCCTTAACCGACTGCTAAATCTTCACATTTTGGGTAGTTGCTTATGGGAGGGTTGAGTGTATTACCTAAAATTCAGAGCCTCCAAAATTATGATTATTTCTCCTCAATGACTATACAAAAAAAACTTTGTCTCACGAGACACCGCAGCAAATACAGTGCAGTTATGTACAATCTCTGGTTATAACATACAGTGATATTTTTATTACAATACATTACCCACCCCTTTACAAGAGAACCAAAAAATGTTCTTAATTTCCTCAAACACAACTTTGTACGTACCATTTTGAAAATACAAGAAAGAATTTTTGGAGAAGCGTAGCTGCCACTGCCTTTGGATACAGCTGGCATGTACGAGCCACTAACATGGCCCATGACACACCACCCAAGAAACCCAAAACATTGGAATAGATTCCACGTTCTGATCACAAATACAAATGAGTTACAATTAGTATGTGACAATAACAACATTATCTATAGTTCTTAATTTTACTCTGAGATGAAAATGACATTTAACTATTTTTTGAGACCTGCATAACTTACTGTACATGTATCATCTAAATGGTTTCTCAAACATTCTTCATTTAAGACCTTCTTCATTATTTACAACAATGTTACTACAGTAGAAGCTCTCGTAACAGACACTCGTAAGCGGGCAGCTCTACCTGTGGACACCACAAAACCCTGTTTGTCTCAATTCTCATACAAACTCTGTAGTTTTTACATTCTCGTAAGCAGCCGGCTGCAGTTACAGACACCATTTTTGCATCCCAAGGGTGTCCGCTTATGAGAGCTTCCCTTGTATGTTATTAAACTACTTGGAAAGGTTATAGAATTTTATCTCAAAAAGAGTTTAAGCAGGTAAGTGCAAGCAAAAGAGTTTAACTACTGGTAATTTTTCGGGAGCTCAGGATAAGTGTCATGGAGGTCATGTTTATTCAAGTTGCCAGAGCCTGTGCTTGCAATAAAGCTGCAAATCCCAATGTGGTGAGTTGCTACAGAGCTTTACAGCCATGAAGAATACCCTCAGTTGAAATAAATTTACTTGTTGCTGCTCTTGTAACCCTGCATTCTGTTAACCGGGAAAAAATTACAATCTCTAGTCCTAATACTGACAAGTTACTAATAATGAGAACCTACTCTTTGCCCATAATTTGACTGCCCTTAATGTAAGTCGAAAGTTTTCTATGTTGGGTACTAAGTGTAGAATTTCATCTGTGACACGACAACCTGCAAAATACAAAAACATGTACAGTGTACTGTAAGGTAACTACAATCAGATATCGTCATACCAAAGATAAAATGACACAATGTACCTCTGCAACTAAAATTACTGACAGCAGTCACTGCTGTCTCCATGTAATTCAATAATATATTATTTTCCTATAACACTTACCATTTAAACTTCTAACACACTTTGGGTCCAGGTTTTTCAAAAGACCCTCATCAAGAAGACTCAGATCATCCGGGACCTCAGGGAGGGCTAGTCGGGCAAACAGCAAGTCCATCTATAAATTGAGTGAAAAAATGATGACAATTTATACTGGATCAGATAGACTTTGAAGGCCAGGAGAATGACCAGTGATGAAACACAATGGCATATTTTTGTTTTGTGAGGAGAATGGGTATCCTCATTGAAGTAGCCAGCATAAAAGATGTAATCAATCCTCAGTTAGTAACCTCAACCCTTGTTTTGAGCCCCAACAGCTTCAATGAATCACCAGAAATGTGTCTTGAAGCTCCCTTCAACCTGATTGGTAAATTGAAAATGGCTTTGTTAACAGGCCAATTATGGCAGACATAAATGTACTCAAATGCTGGTACACTAGTGAGGGCCCAGAACAAGGTATTTGGTGCTTTTTTTGCAGATGGACTTATCCAGTAATTAAGTTCCTCTGACACACAGGCTATCTTTGAAGGGACCTTACCGGTATACTTTAAGGCATGATGATGCAAGAAATGGTCACTCACCTCAATATTGCAAAATACCATTTTGATGACAGGAACAAAAGCATTTTCAACTGCCTATAAAAAAAGTCAAAGGAAAGAAAGAACTAAACATGAATAAATGAAAAGAGGCATTATACTATAATACAGGGAAGCATAAAAAGTGTGAAAGGAGCCAGCTGCGCAGGAATTGTATTTTCTCAACAGAATGCTCCATAAATTATAAATGACTTTGGAACAGTGTGATGCAGTCAACCACTTTCAAGAAAGCACCTTCCCTTGATAGCAACCTTTACACAGTAAACGTCCTACTCTGTGTAAATGACTACTCGCGAAATAGAGGAAAAAAGCTCTGATCAGGTTTTATAAGAAAGTAAAGGTGACCCATATTTACTGCAAAAATTTACCCTTAATTCCTTTACATCCTCATTGTTCTTGAGAATCTCATAAAAAGTTCCAAAGAAGTCAGTTCGCTCAACATGACGAGGAGCAACAAGGAGTGTGTCAATATCAGCACCTGGATAAAAGTCATAAAAGATGGTGTTATTAATAATCATAAGCAATCACATAGTACACTCATGAAGATCTGTAGAAAATAATTCCACTTGAATTATGTCAAAGCTCTAATAATTTCTGAGCCTTCTTGAGATCAAAACTGCTGTTTCCAAGGACGGGAATACAATATAAATGCAGGGCTGTACTCTGGCAGAGTCCAGTGGCCCCTGGAGCCTAACTTTTGCTCTTGGGCAACTAGAAAATCTCAGATTTTTTACAGAAATCATATGCTGGGCACCCTAGATTTTACAGGTTCAGAGCGCTAGGCTCCCTTTAGTTTTCCCTGGAGCAGAGCCTTGAAACGTTTAAAGTCTTATACACAAAGTACATGTAATTTAAAATAAGTACAACAATCACAACTTTCCAAGCCTCCTGAAGAATAACATTACACTTCAACAGTTACTTTTGGTTTGAATTGCAGGTATCAGGAGATCAAAATCAAAAAATCAAGATTCTGCTTTACGTAATGACATCCTGTACCTCGACATTTAGACTAATATTCTTGTTCTACACGTGTATATATCTGATTACATGTACAGTATCATCGGACAGCAGTAAATAATAAAATTATCATTCTAAATTTTACCTTTGGTATGCACACCAAGCCTGTAAGAACCAAATGTGAAGATCTTTCCACCAACTAAGTTTGCAACTGACTCAGGCATGTTCTACACAAAATAATAAAAATACAGGTTGTTTCATATACTATATAATTTATGCATTTTTTGTATTCATCTTGCAACTGGTCATCAAATAAAATCCATGAGTTCCTAGATACCTTTGACAAACTTATATCTATGATCCATTGTTTAACCAAAGTATTCAGTTTTGCAAGAACCACCATCCTGTTGAGAAAAGAGAGAAAACAAATCTACAGTGTATAACCTGCCCTGAGGGTATAAATGAAAAATTGTACACCATTTTTAGTAGCTTAATTACCTGTGTTGGAGCTCTTCCTCACTTTCAAACACTCCATAAGGTTTGAGAGTTTCCTCAAGGGCCTTGGTGAGTGCAATGTCCTAAGAAAATTATCATCACGTGATAAATATAAATAAATCTTGTACAGTGTATGCATAATATTTCGGTATAACTACAGTTAACCTCTCTAAGCAGTCTCCTACATGTATCAAGAATCTATCCTCTACTAAGTAACCAGAGTCCAGACGACGCAACAAGAACGTCAAAAAAAAAAGGTTTAATGAGTAAAACAACAACTTTGCACGTGCAGCACACTTTTTTGTAAATTTCTTTGCAGTTTTTGCACAACTGCCACGTAAAAATTCCTAATTTCTCACTTTATAGATAAAGTAAATGAACAATAAAGAAATTTTATTTCTCTTTCTGAACTCGGATCTCGGAGGGTTCGCCTACATTTTACAAAGTAAGTGGGTAGGAATAATCACAATAAAGACTGAAAGAATGCAAATTGACTTCTTATGCGACGTTCTGATCTCGCTGTCGCGTTGTTGGATCTTAAAGTCCCTGTTGTAGTTAATTTTTTATCTCAGGTAATTCTTATTTTTCCTTTGTTTCAACTTCATTAGCACACATTACCATACCCTAAAACAAAGAAAAAGAAAAATTACCTGAGATAAAAAATTAACTACAACATCTCTATTGGTGGGGAAGCAGGATGTTTTTGGTTAATTTTATAACCACCTAGATTAACAGCCCAAGTGGGAATGGACAAAATTATTGATGATCAATGCTTAGTAAAATACTAAAGCCAGAGATATTTTAACGGCTTTTAGAATCAAGGTTTTGAGTCATTAAAACCATTAATTTATTTTACGGGAAACATGCTCATAATCAGGGTTGTCAGAAAGTTTTGAAGTAGATGGCTGAGTTGTCAAAGTAAGCAGCCAGTCCAGGGATATTTTATTCAAAAAAGGCCATCCATAAAGAAATGTTAAGCAGAGTAGCCGGCCAAACCTAACCAAGCAGGCGGCAATTTTCACCGGCAGCCGGCTACTTTCAACAACCCCAATAGCCCAAAATAACATGAAACAAATGGTGTTACAAGTTGCTGTCAAAACAAAATTTTGAATTTATTGGTCGGTACAGAGAAATACAACCTGCTCAATTCACCAATTTCAGTAAGTATTCTAACTAACAGATTTCCATGTAGTAAATAATTATTAATATCTTTTATGGAGGATGCAGACAAAAGTCGATTTTCATGCTGGGTGAGTAACTTTGAAGCTCACTTGCCCTTGTAACTAAATCATTTACTAAGACAAGCCCGCCAGCAATGGCCCTGGGCAAGCAAAATGCAAGAACTAGCTGCTTGTCCAAAGGACAAGCTGGAATTCAAGTTCTTTTCAAGCCCACTGAAAGAACACAAATTCACTTTCTACAAGTAAAATTTTTACCACTGTAATTGCAGTTGTGGCTGTGTTAACTCTAATTTAAAAGGCCAATCAAAGACAAATTTCTCTTAGGTGGCAAACACTGCCTGCATGTCAAGTTGCAGGGTTAATAACATGATAGGCAGGAAATGAAACAGCTAGGGATTTCTTTTGGTTGTATTTTTGATATACTGTATCTTGTTATGAAAGTAGCCAGGGATCACATTCACAATAGCCAGGGGAAATCCCCGGTACCCATCCTTAATGACAGTCTTATTTACAGGCTAACTGTTAAGAAAGGGTGTTTTTTTTTAACTAGCCCCAGGTTATCTGACAGCATTTTTGTCATTTTGACTAGAAATGGCAATACCCTTTTAGGCGCCGAAGACATAATATTATGTGATAATTATGCGATCTCTTTAATTACAGGGTCATTCCACAGTATTCCGTCTGTTGCGGAAGGGAAATTCAGAGACACTAATCATGTTGTAGTGTAATAAGTTTTTTTCATTTACTTCTGGATATTTAGGGAGTTTTTATGTCTTTTAGGGAGCTATCATTTCTAGTCTCATGCTTTTCTCTTAAATGCATTATTTAGCTCGCAGACCATCAAAAGAGGGCTGTTGCGGAGGGGAACAGAAAATACCGTGTTCAAAGTTTTTTTATTTCATTCTTAATTTTCTATGAATTCTGGAATGGTATCCTAAGCTCACTGGTTTTTTCCATTTTATCAACTTATGTTAATTACAAGAATCATAAAAGGAAACTTAAATGTACAGCTCTTTTTCAGTGAGGCAGGATCCAAGACCACCATCCACTGTTGCGGAGGGGAAGTTGCGGAGGGGAAAATGTGTCCACATTTCAGTATTCATAAAACAAGCCACGAAAACCTAATTATAACGACCATATTTTAATATATGAACTTCAACAACTTTACATTGGCTTTATATTTATTAATGTCTCTGCTCCTTTATGATGCATGTCTAACGCGAAGTGACTTAATTATAAAACAAATAATGACAAGTTGGCGATAATGGGGGAGCACTGCCGTGCGCTAGGTTAGCGTGTGCGACTTCCGGCGATGGCGTGAGCAAATTTAAAAGAACCTCACTTATCTCCCCAGCACTACGAGCTGAATGCAATACAGTACGTGCTGGATCAGACAAGAGTATCGGTTTGCAGGCGATATTAAACGGCAATGCAGCCAACAAGCTTGGGGGAAGTCCCTGCACAGACTTAACCGCACTGCGAGGAGTGTCCCTAGTTTATTTGATGGCATAGCACAAAACAAAGCCCAAACCTCGTCTCCAAAGGGAGGGAGCTAGGGAGGGAAAATTTTTACAAGAATAGTATACTGAGCGCTTAAACCTTGCTGAACACTGGAACCCCCTGAACAGTTGTTCTACGCTTTTCTAGCTAGACGCATGTCTGCTGGCATCGCCAGTAGAAAAGGCTGTACTACAAGACAGCTCAGCGTTGCATGTGCAAACTCTTAGCCATGAATAGTGCTTTGAAAATATTGGCCAATGCTGTGGCTCGTACTAGCCTGCTTAAGACAACAAGGCCGTAAAGTTCTATGCTAGAATACAATGCATCTTAGAGCTCGCTGACCTTGACAACCTGACTACACAATTGCTTTGTTGAAAAAGAACCGCCATGAATGGGTTACTGATAACTAGCGTCACGTTCCATTAACTACATTTTACTGGCGTGACAGTAAAATTGCTTTTATTTTTAATAGGGTCACTTCTCACTTTCTTTCTGAACTTTCTACTTCTTTCAGTGTTAGAAGGCATTTTTTAAAATTCAATACTTCTCAACTCAGCAAGAAAGCCATATTGAATTTGAACACATGGTTTTAGCTATCCCACAATGCATTGTTTGAGTACAAACTCACAACAGAATTCCCCTCCGCAACAAAATTTCCCCTCCGCAACAGAAACTAATCATTCTTTATCAAATTCAGCTAAAAACGTGAAATCCATTAGAACATAATAAAATTAAGCCTTGGTCAAAAATTAGAAGATATGAAAACAGAAAGTTGAATTAATTATTTGTTAGCCTGAAAATAAAACTATCAGGCCTCAAAATGTTGCGGAGGGGAAAACAGCATCCATGACATTGTCTGCTGCTGTCATTATGGTGAAAATATCAATGTTGGTCAATACTAAAGTAACTTTGCATTAAGTAGTTTTTGTCCCATACCAGCTCAGCAAAATTTTTGTTAATAATTTGTTATCAGCAACACATTTAACTTTCCCCTCCGCAACAGCTATTTTCACTGTATATGGTAATTGATGATAATTTATGCATACACGACAACTGACAACAAACAAAGTTTACCATTTTCACATACTATAACTAGTATATTTTCAATTTGTCAAGAAATTGAGTGAAACAAACAATTTTGATTTTTGATATTTTCTGTCCAAATTACTGTGGAATGACCCTACAGTGTATCCACCATAAATACTTGAACCGCCAAAATTCAATCCTAAATGCCAGATCTAAGGATTTGCTTGAAGTTGAGGCTGTGGATGATTATGGCCGGATCTGACGAAAGTTTCGTTTAAATATTTCACAGGACAATAATAAACAATAAAAGTCCACTACTGTTTACTACCTTGTAGCTTCGTTTAAAATTAACCCGCTTATTGGATGGCAGTACAGTGGAAGTCTCAGGTATAAAAAGGACACTGTACGCCAAGTAACCTGACTCCGATCCTGGGCACAAAGATATAGAAGAGCAAGCTGTGTTTGGCCAAGCTTGCACGCGAGCAAGCATCAAAGAAGAATTCAAGTGTTAATTAAGAAAAATGGTTTTAACTTACATTGGGCTTCGGCTCAGCCAAAGATATCGGGGAAGTGATTCCATAGGACTTTTGTGTTTGTCCCCCGGTGGCAGCACTAGAATCAACGACATGATTTGAGTGAGGCGCGAAAACCAAAAAACGTTCTCAGAATTATTGAATTCTTTCATCTCAAACCGGTATAATCGTTTAAGTCAGAAGATGCGCTTACCTGGACATTTTAAAGGTTTCAGAGAACCAGTCTGTTCATTGATAAATCATTACGGGCAAATCCGCAGGGCCTTGCAGCGTTTGTTATTAAGGCTTTCCAACAAAAACAGAAAAAGATCAGAAACGTGGATGAAAACCAAGATGGCCGATCGGCCAGCTGTGCAACTGCGCATGCACTGGAGTCTCTAGTTCTCAGTTTCCTTACTACCCGTTAATAACGCCTTGGATATTTTGATACTAGGGTAACAAAACAACTACCCGCACCACTACCGCGGTCAAACGTCTAAATCGTTATTTTTGTTTTTTATTGCTGCGATTTCATTTACCAGTTAGAGAAAAATGGGCAATGGTGTATAAATCAGTTAGTCAACATAACTATCTTTCCATTTTTCTCAAAATTTTGAGCTTCTTTCGCTGAAAACGCTTCGCGCTAAAAGAGAATCATGTTTGAAAATGGCGCCGATAATAACGTCAGCATCGTTTTTCAATCACTTAGAACATTTTTACTAAACTTTTAAAACATTTAGTAAACTAACAGGATGTTGGTATTACCTTAAACTTTCGATAGTGAAAGTAGCAACCTTAACTTTGAAGTATTTCGCTTAACTTTTGCAAATTTCACTCGTTCGACCGCTGTGAAACCCGACCGGGTTTAACATCGAAATTAGTCATAAAGAGATGTAAGTAAATCTTGAAAGCTGTCTTTGAAAAGCTGAAAAGAAGAAGTATGACGTAGATTGCGAGTAGTAGGTTATTCCGAATATTAATTGTAAGCAATTTGACAGAAAAATAACGTTCGAAAGCGTTGATGATGGCGGAGATCCAAGTTATTGGCAGCACTCCTAGCTAGTACGACCGGAAACAAAGTTGATGTTAAACAATTATAGGCGTTGGGTATTCTCATGAGGTCTGACACTATTGGAAAATGAAAAGTGCTAAATAAGGAGCGAAGAGATAGAAATTAATGGTGATGATGATGACTGATAATAACAGTGGAGATCAACCTCCAGGGGCACCCAACGACCGTTTTCTGGGAAATGATCTGAAATGGCTCGTTATGCATCCTGGTGTGCTTTAAAAGCAATATAAATGAATAATTCGCATCGCTAAAAAAATTTGATCTGTTCGGTCGTCCTAGGAGTGGTTTGNAATTGTCACTGAATTGCGTAAACAGAAATTTGGTAAGAAAAAACTCAGAACACTGGAATAACCAAGATTCTGGAGTCTGGAGATTCCTCCAAGTATAGATAATAATTTACAATTATCTGAATTCTTAGGTGAATTATCAGCTGACGATTACAGTAAATTATCAGGCTGAATTATTCCTGTTATAACACGACTGACACGAGTGCGCGTTGGGTTGGCTATGAGTCTGATGAGTCTGCTGATGAGTTGGCTAGAATGAATGTGTCTCAGGTGTCTAATCTGTCTGATGGGTTCATCTTTAACAGTTGCAAGGCTGCAGTGAGACTTCTGAGACTGATTATGTTTTTTTCCTTGTTTATCATCAGCTGTGTCATATTCGTTTTGCAGTGAAAGTTACGGTACACAGCAATCCGAACAAAGGTTCGAAAGGTTCGGCAGGTCAGCGAACAGATATTTCCCCGAAAAAGGTCGTTGGGTGCCCCTGGCAGGTGCATCAAAACCACTTAACATAGCATTGTTGAACGTAGTTTAGTATTCAAACAGTAGATATAAGCATATTTTTATACCCTAAAAACTTTTCATCTGTTCGGATTTCCTAGCTGAAAGTCTAGTGATCCGAAAATTCTAGGGATAAAAACTTACCTTCTCGAAAACTTCAGCCAGGAAAAGGCTCCCGAAAATTCTAGGTGGCCTTTTTTAGGGTCAAAAGCCGTTAAAAATGGGTAATTATACCATTTTGTCGATGTTCGAAAATCCTAGGAGAGGCAGACAAGAAAGAAATTTTACAACAAATGCTCCGAAAATTCTAGATCTCAAATCGTCTTCCGAACAGATATTTTCCCGAAAATTGCCGTTGGGTGCCCCTGAACCTCGAGTGGAGTGGAGATGATGATGTTGATGATGTTGATGATGATGATGATGATGATGTTGATGATGACGATGATAAAGGTTGCATTTTGCAGATGGGCCGGTTCCGAATTGCCTTATCAACCTCTATTTCAAAGCGAGGTTAAGTGCAAAGCCAGTGATAGGAAAAAAAACTCATTTTCACAACAAAGGTTTCGCACTTAGCCTCGTTTTCAAAATAAGAGTTTTGAACTCGGAAATGGCCTATTTCTCTCGTTGCCCGCTGTCAAACGCAACTCTTACGTCATTTTCCCTCAGTCCAGGCCTTTTTGTTCGTAGGCCGTGCCCACTTGTTTGACCTGCGCAAAAATATACAGTTGTCAGGAGCTGACAGCTGTTCTATGTTCTAGATTGATTTCTTGATACGGGTTCAAGCACCCAAAAAAAGCCTGATTTCAGACTGCATGTGTGTGTTGTTGTCTCATATGCTCAGAGGCCCTTTAAGCTTATTCCAGCCAGGCCGACCACATGCTGGCAGAGCAGAGGTAGGCTTCCACCTGACCAAGTGCATTAGCCTGCCACTCTCTCCAATTGGTGGAGTCGCAAGGAGTTGCGCATGAGTGGCACGCGAACGGAGACGCGGCTTTCCAGCTCGCTCGCGCGTTCTCTCTCAGCTCGCCATGGAGGGTTTGCTCACAGACTAACAGTACATGTATTACCGTACATGTACTACGTACCCTACTTTTTAGGAAAAGTGTGTTCGTTCTTTGTCGCAGATGTTTTTAAAGGGGCAAGTGTTGTCAGGAGGCACCAAACGTTCTTTCTAATCCGACAGGACTAAGAAAGTCTAACTGTTTGCAGATGCAATTACAAATTAAGGCAGTACTTTCTCCTTAGTTATTTAAATACCCTGAGTGTTGTTCTGGCCAGGGTTTGCACCCGTGCTCACCACCCTCTCGGCAGATCAAGGCCAACCCAATTGCTCGTCCAATTCAACAAATCAGAATAAGTTATTGACTAGAACTATTTTCAAGAAATTGCAAAAAGGCCCAAGAGCTAGAGAATCTGAAGTGAGTTTCGTAGACGGAATATTGTACATGCGAGCCGATTTTGTGAAAACGAACCTAACCAAAAGAAATTTGAAGCCATTTGAGAAAAAAAGGGCCAAAAGGCAGGGTTTTTGCGGCTGATAAGCTCGAAAATCACACCAGCGAAGGAAAAGGAACGAGAGAGAGCCAGGAGCGAAGACTTGAAAAGAAACCAGGGGAAGAGAATAAAGCAATCGGTTGCACTCTAAGTTCTTTTCAGTTTTACTTTGGTCTACTTGACGGTTTTGAACTATATTCTCGTTGGGTGCCCCTGAACGTTTTCAAAAATCCGAATAGATGTATAAGGCAACAAATAAACAAACGAACAAAAGCAATATGTCGTCTTAGTGCAAAAAATGTCAGTTTTGGGGTTTTGCACACTCATTGCAACGTGATGTTCTCAAAACGTCGAGAGAAAAAGTTTCACCATGTTCATGCATAAATTTATATTTATAGTTACTTCAAAATACTACACTGTTTACCAGTTATCTCGGGTGTATATAAACACATTGGAATTACAACAAATAAATTAAATATTGCCGGTATTCGATCGGTATTGCGGTTGTAATTAGTTTGTTTTTTATTTCTCTGGACAATTTAATTGGCAACCTCTCGCAATAATTTTCAGCCATTTCCTTTCGAGAAACTCGCTGATTTAGTGCCAGTAATTATGAAATTACCGGACTTTTTTGTTTGAAATTGTAAATTATTAATTTTGTAAAAAGACTTTTCTGCGGGGACTAGCTGTGGCCTTTTCACAAATACAACTTTTCTATAATTCAGGACGTTTATTCACTTTGTAGCTTCAAGTTTTTACAATTCTCTCTCTATTGTTGTCACACCTTGCTTTTTATACCGACTCAGCTCAAATTAATGCTTACGCAAGTCTGTGATTGGCTGGAAGTGACCCATCCGCATATTTCACTGTTAAGATTGGGCTTTCCAGTAAGAATGAAACAAGGAGAGCAATGTAAAAATTACAAGGTGTTGAGTATTATATAGAATTTTTACAATACTAGTAAAGAAGGTTCTAAAGTTGTTGCTTGAAAATTATATGGAGTAGTCGATCTTGGTAAGGTGTTTAGCTTCTCCGAATGTGATTGGCTAAACTTGCTTATATATTTATTAACTATGCGATGCCAAAAACGCAACCGTACCGAGTCTGATTACAACTCGGCTGGCTAACAACTTCTTACAGGTCATTTACAGCTTGAAGACTCAATACAGCTATGATGTGACAGGGAATTATCTTAACTATTATTATTTAAATTATTTTCACTAAGTTGGGATAAGTTGATCATAAACAACAATTTCCATTACTTACATTTTTATTGTATAACAATAATATTGTTGTGAAAGGTTATTTTTCCGCCAATCTGGAAAAACGCGACAAAGCCGGAGAAATTAAAACACTTGAGTCATACGATTTCCTCGCGGAAGAACCTGGCAACTTGATCAAGAAACGCAAGGTGATCCAAGTGATTATTTTTCACTTTTTTTCTAAGTTTATGGATCATTTCGTCACATCAGTAAAAAGAGCTGGTACTTATTTGAGTTCCAATGCTTTAAACCACTATTTCGGAATTTTCACTCACCGAGATTAAGGAGAGTAGCCGTGGAAATACATCTAGCGGAGAATCGGTGCAATTAAATCAACAAATTAAAAAAAAAAAACATTGCCTTCAGAAACGTTCATCAGCAATAACAAGGAATCTAAATTGCAGTATTGACAAAGAGCTGTATATGTTTACATAGTTACATCCGTTTTCTCAGACACAAGTGGCCCCACATTTGCATTTTTGACAATTTAACCAGTATTAAGCCAAGTGAAAATGCATCGAGGTAAGTGAAAACACCAAAACACTTTTGAAGTCCTAAGACCGTTGCCTCCTTGAGCGCGTTTTGAATTACATAGTCTTGGACCGCGATGTCAGGAATTCATTTACCAGACATTGGAAAATTAGGTATTCACATAGCAACTGGAATGAAAGACAAGAAAAAGGTTACGCCGAGCAACATGGCCGAGGATGCTAAATTTCGAGCACTGTCAACGAGACTCGATAGTGAAAAACACGAAAGAAGCAGAGCTCTGAAGAAAGAAGAGCGTCGAATGAAACGAAGAAAACATAAAATTGACAAACGCTGGTGCGATATTCAGAAGGGCAAAAAGGAGGAGTTACATGCCGCTAATTGCGATGATAGTGTCAAGGGTACATTTCCACCCCTGATCTCTTATACAAGACCGTCGGGGGAACCTAATGACGAGTTAAGCAGGGAAACAAAAGATGTTGATCAATATTCTTGCAGCAGCTACTCACCAACTTCTGCTATTTTTCCAATTCAGGATGAATTTCTATTTTTTGAAGGTAATAGAGAGGGCCGCGATGGCGGCGAAAAACATAAATTTACTCTACCACCGATTGGAAAAGATGTTGTAGAGAGTAAGACAAAAGAACGAAAATCCACCCCCTTTAAGAAAAAGGCCAAAAAGAACAACATTATTAGAAGCAATAAAAAGATTATGGAACGCGACTTCGAGGAATCCAGTCATCCAAGGAATTCTAAAAAACGACGCCAGAGTTCACCGCTAGTACTAGCTCAGAATTTGACTTCGAATAACCATAAGGAAGACTTTGTTTCCAGTAAGGAGACCAGTAAAGTTGAGATGAGATTACCCTCCCCAACTATGATTGACGGAAAGGAGACAGCACAACTTACTGAAGGAGACGAACCAGTTTTACAAATAGAAAGTGGCGCAGAGCTAGGTCTTGATGAAGCTAATTCCACCGCAAATCCATTTAACTATTTGCTCGTTGAAGCGCAAAGAAGGAAGGCTATAAATCAAAATCTACAGGATGCCTTTCGCGCTATTAAAGCTTGTCGTTATATAAGAACACCCAGCCGTTTAGAACAAGAGAATCCCGAAGAATCGACGAAATAAAATTAACGGAAGGTGCCTACCCTTTGTGATAAATCAGCGCTTTACTTTTAAAATCAATAAGCTAAATGAACGCTCTGTCTGGATCTTTTCCGTACCCATCTTCCGATGGAAGTTAATTAGCTGATCTAGCTACGTAACGTTGCTTGTATAGTTGTCACATTATATGGCTTTGCTGGAACTGGGCTGCCGCTCAGAAAAGGCCCTTCTTAGTTTGGATAACTTGAAATTTCAGCACATTCCTGTGTTTTAGAGCTCATATTTTAGACGTTTGTTTATCTGGTGATGTTGACAAATGATGAATTTTAAGTGTTGACAAAATTGATCTATTAAACGCTCTAAGTGCGAATATTGAAATTTGCTTGTCCAGCCTTAGTTATTTGTCGTTTTATTATCACTGTTTCCTAGTGCAGTTGATATGTTTGGCAATCCACAGCATTTACCATGAAATATAGTCGCTGTAACTGAACAGCTGAAGTGCAATTGTTATCTCACAGTTCCTTTGGTGATCATGGTATTCAATTCGAGGAATTCCGCAAAGCCCCTTTTTAAAAACGAGGTGACGTTGACTTCACTTATATAAACTGATTTTATGTTTTCAAGCAATCAGATTCACACATTTCCTCACATTCTGAAAATAAAGTGAGGGTTATGGCCCATCAGCACTCAACATCAGGCTCTTTTACTTGTGACACGCGGACCCCTGGGGTCAAACTCGCAAAAGAGCAAATCCCGAGATGAATCTTTACAAGTATAAACTCACGATGCAGACAGTGTTTTTATCTGGAGTCTCTGCATTCATGACTGTTCAAAAATGTAGTTACGTCAATAATATACTTACGACTGCTGACTGAAAAAAAGGCCTCGACGGGTGATGGGGCACGATGTGCGATGCGATATTACGCTGTGATTGGTGGACCTTGTGTCAAGATTGGAGAGATGTTCCCTCAAGGGTCCGCAGTCGCAAGTTCCCCTTTTATGTCTTGTGCCGGCATCCGCGCCTTCAGAGTCCCTATTCCCGCCGACCTCTGGATGTTTTTGAACGGTCTATTGGACTCTCATTTTGCACCAGGGTTAGCCTAAATGCATGAGAGACATCTTGTGG